CATATACTTTCCATATAACCATGTTTCCATAATAATTTACCTCCTCATTTTCCCTTCAATTTATGTACATTGAATTTATCAATAAATGAGAAATGCATTAAATCTAAGTTATTATTCTGATTTGGATTCACTTATAAGATTAAAAGACAGTTCTAAATATCCCTGGCCAGGTAGCTCATTTGGTAAGAGCATCAACCTGATACACCAAGATTGTGGGTTCAATGAACCAATGAATGCATAAATGAGTGGAACAACAAGTTGATCTCTGTCTCTCTGTCTCTCTGTCTCTCTCTCCCTCCCTTCCTTGCTCTCTCTCTACCTCCCTCTTTCTCTAAAATTCAATAAACAAAAAAAACTTTGAGTTCTCAACTCAATTGTTTTCATGACATTTATTATCATTGTAATCATCTTAGAAAACTTTAGTTTTTCTTTAATGAACTCAAAGGAATGAAACCTTATAACTCTAGATTTTAGATAAAAACTCAAAAGTTTAAATGATCTCCTTAAAATATAATGTTCTTATCAAGACTGTATGACAAAAATTTTTTAAAATCCTGTGCCACTCAATTAAAGGCAGCTGCTCTGTCCAAAAACAAACAAAAATAAACAAAAAAAGAGACTGTATTATATTGGCATAAGGACACACATAGCTAAATGGAATAGAATTGAAAGTTAGGAATAAACCCCATACATTTATGGCCAATTGATTTTTCAAGAAGGATAACAAAACAATTCAATCAGGGGAAGAATACTGTTCAACAAACAGTGCTGGTAAAACTAAATATCCACAAGCAAGATAAAGTTGTACCTTGCTGCCCTACACTTGTACAAAAATTAATTCAAAATGGACCAAAGACTTAAAGGTAAGAGCTAAAACCATAAAGCTCTTAGAAGAAAACATAGCTATAAATCTTCATGATTATTTCTTAGAAATGACACCTAAGTCACAAGCAACCAAAGGAAAAATATATAAATTGGATTTCATATTTTAAAAAACTTCAGTGCTTCCAAGAACACTATCAAGAAACTGAAAAGGTAGCCTACAGAATGGAAGAAAATTTCTGCAAACATATCCTATAAGGGTCTAGTGTCCCAAATATTAAAAAAGAAAAACTCCTACAAAACAACAATAAAAAGACAACCCAATTTTAAAATGGGCATAAAATTTATATAGACATTCTCCAAATGGTCAACAAAAAGCTCATGAGAATATATTCAACATCCTTAGTTATCAGGGAATTGCAAATCAAAACCAAGTGAGATATCACTTTGTATCCACTGTTATGGCTATAATAAAAAAGACAAACAATTAAAATTGCAGCTGAGGATGTGGAGAAATTGGACCCCTCATCTATTTGTGGTAGGTATACAAAATGATGCTGGCACTTTGGGAAACAGTGTGGCAATTCCTTAAAACATTAAACATAAAGTTACCATATAATCCAAAAATTCCATTCCTGAGAGAATTGAAGACATGTTCACACAAAAATTATACACAAATGTTCACAGTAACATTATTCAGAATAGCCAAAAAGTGGAAACAACACAAATATCCATCAACTGATGAATGGAAGTAAAATGTGGTACTGTAGCCCTGGACAGGTGGTTCAGTTGGTTGAAGCATCATTCCATACACCAAGATGTTGTGGGTTCAATTCCTAGTCAGGGCACATACCTAGGTTTTGGGTTCAATCCCCAGCTGGGGTGCATAGAAGACGCAACCAATTGATGCTTCTCTCTCTTTCTTTCTTCCCTCTGGCTTCCCCCAACCCTTCCTGTCTCTGTAAAATCAAGTTTGAAAAAAATCATATTTCTGGTGAGGATTTTTTTTGATGTGGTACTGTATATCCATACAATGGCATGCTATTATTTGGCCATAAAAAGGAGTGAAATACTGACACATACTACAACATGTACGACCATTGAAAACACTATGCTAAGTGAAAGGAGCCAGACACAAAAAGGCCCCATATTGGATGATCCATTTAAGTGAAATGTCCAGAATAGGCAAATCCATAGAGACAGAAAATAGATTAGTGGGTGCCAGGGACTGGGGGAAAAAAGAATTGGGGAGTGACTGTTAAAGGGTATTGGGTTTCTTTTTGGAGAAATGAAAACATTTTTTAATTAGATACAGGTGATGTTTAACAACCTTGTGAATATACTAAAAACCAGTGCATTATATACACTTTAAAAGGGTGAGTTTCTAGTGCACTGTTGGTGTAAGGCAGACTTGTGCAACCGCTATGGAAAATAGTATGGAATTTCCTTTAAAAAATTAAAAATGGAACTATCTTCTGAACCAGCGATTCCACTGCTGGGGATGTACCCTAAGAATCCCAAAACACCAATTCAAAAGAACCTATGCACCCCAATGTTCACAGCAGCACAATTTACAGTAGCCAAGTGTTGGAATCAGCCTAAGTGCCCATCAGCAGATGAGTGGATTAAAAAACTGTGGTACACTTACACAATGAATATTATACAGTATAAAAAGAAGGGATTCCTGCCTTTTGTGACAGCATGAATGAAACTGGAGATTATTATTCTAAGTAAAATAAGCCAGTCAGTGAAAAACAAATATCATGTCATCTCACTTATAAGAGGAATCTAATGAACAAAATAAACTAATAAGCAAAATAGAACCAGAGGCATAGAATCATTAAATAGACTGACAGTGAGAAGAGGGGAGGAGGAAGGTAGGGGCTGTTTGAAAGAGGGGAAAGGTATTAGTCAATAAACATGTATGAAGGACCCATGAACATGGACAACAGTGTGGGGATTGACTATGGAAGTGGGGGGTGGGCTGAGCAGAGGAGGGCAAGGGGGGAAAATTGGGACAACTGTAACAGCATAAATAATAAATAAGTGAATTTCATGGTATATGAATTATATCTTAAATGAAGTTTTAAATGAAGTTCTTTAAATTATCCTGCAGATAGTATTGTAATGTAAAGCCCTGACAAGGTCATTGTAGGAGCCAATAAATATAAAATGGATCAGGAAAATATTTAAAGGGAAAGTTAATATAGTTGAAGTGGCAAAATAATAGTATAACCATATAAGTGATTTGGAAAAGTCACTTTTCCAAATAAAAAATGAAGCTGAAAAAAAATCCATGATTAATGAAAAAGTATTTTAGGTAAAGAACAAGTTTAGATGAGAGCACAGGAAAAATAAACTAATTCCTTATTTTATAATTTTTTCCTTATTTCATTACAACCCTGAATCACAGCACTTCAGAGGCATTTCTAGGGCACAGGAAGTTTGTAAGAATAACATTATTATGATCCCATTTTATTTGCAACTCAAAGAGATGCCCAGCTTTACACAGTAACTTAATGATAAAGCCAAGAAATTTCATTAGAGCTTTTCTCCTAATGTTTTACCTGCTAGCTACTTTCATGTTGAAAATATCAACTATATCAACTTTAAAGTAACATTATAAAGCCATATTTGTATTCATTGACCTAATCTCACCAAGAATTACTGTTAAATATAAAAGCCAATGTTTATTCCAGCTTGCATTCTTTCACGAAACTGTCTAAAAACTTTCTGGTTGGATGAGAATATTCCATTTTTGGCTTCCTAGGAATTAAAATTTTAAGTTAAATTAAAATTTTCCTTAATCAAAGTTAAAGAATAATAACTCCTACATAAACAACCAAGCCACAATGAATGAATGAACTTTTACCACAGAATTGTGAAGAACCAAGATCCTTAATACAGCATTGTCTCACATTAAACACAAGATGCAGACAATGATAACATCTCCTTGGAGATTTATGGGAAGGACATTTTGCAAGAGCACTTTATGCAAATACCAGGACTTGTTGCAAATACAAACAAGGGTCAGCATCCTCGTAATCTCTGCCGTTGTGGGCTCAAAAATCATAAGAAATATTTGTATAATGCTTTTCACATGTTAATTTTACTGAACACAACAACCCATGAGAGTAAAGACAAGGAATTAATATATTATTAACCATTTTACATCTCAGGAAGCGGACGTTCAGAATAGGGAAGTGATTTGCCCAAAGCCACCAGGCTCATCAGCGACAAAGCTGGATGGGACTCAAAGCTGGGTCTTTTAATACCAGATTCTATCTTCTTCCCACCGCAATCTCTACTTCTCCAAGTAAACTATGTTAGAGGCAGGCTCAGGCATTCTACAAGAAGAAACAATGAGAAGGAAAGTAGCGAGGAACTAGAAAGGGACGATGACAGGGGAAGGAGGTATTTTATTAGGAAGTAAGTCTGACCACACTCAATCGTCCCAAGCGTCTCTTAAGTGGTAACAGTGCCACAAGTTACTCTGCTGTAAATTAATCCTATATCCATAGGTCTACAACCACTCTTACTGAGAATCACGTTGGAGACTTAAATGTCTAAAATAAAAATCTAGAGATTTTTCTCCTCCGAGGTTCTGACAGCTGAACCTAGCCCCTCCCACAAAAGCCCTTGGGAGCCGAAGAAACAGCAAAGTGTGGGAGAATGAAGGGAAGAGAGTTTCGGTTAAGAGGGTGAGTAAGGTTGGGCTAAGGAGATGGGGAGCCTGCGGTGGAGCTGTGGTTGGGGGATGTGGGTTTTGTGGCTGAACTTGAAGGTTGGGTAGGAAACCAGGATCAGGGCTGACTGTCACGGTGGAGTTTACAGGTCCAGGAGGGATTAGGGGAGCTGAGGACTTTGTAAGGCTAGAGAAAGACCAAGCGGGGTGCGAGGCTGAGCGATCTGCGGGGCGCGAGGTTGCGGGCGAGGCCCCTCTCTAACGTCTGGGATTGGATGCTCCGGTAAGTCCTGCCTCCCGGGACCCCTCTCCCCTTAAGCCCCGCCCACGACACCGGGCGCGCGCCCGGGAAGCCGGGAGAGGGACCGGGCTGGAGAAGGAGGGAGGGAAGAGAGGAGAGGCTCATGCACGCGCCTCACTCGCTGCGGGTGCGCGAGCAGCGCGTTCCCGCCGCCCGCGTCGCCATCTTTTCCCCCTCCGTCTGTCTGTCTGCCGTTGGCTTTGTCCGACTGCAGCGCCGCCCCTCGGCTCAGCGCCATCGGCTCGGCCCGCAGCCGTCCTCCGTCTGCCGGGGCCCAGTCCCGGAGAGCCCCGGCCTGGCCGGTCCAAGCTGCAGCCCGGGGCCCATTGTCCGGCGGTCCGTCTGTCCGGAGGCGGGGCCCAGGGACCCGGAGCGCCGCGGAGCGCCTAGGCGCCGGGTAAAAAGACCCCCGACTACTTCCCTCCGGGGCCAGGCTGAGGATGCAGGGGCTCCTCAAACCCCTCTCTGGGTTACTGGCTGTAGGTCTTTTGTCTGTCCGTGTCTGGGGAGGGGGCTGGGGGCTCGCTCTTGGCCTGGGGGACAGCCCAGGCTCCGACCCACCCCCTGCCCAGGTTCCCCGAGACGAGGCGGGACCCAGCTAGCTCCCCGCCGGCCGTTCCTCTTTCCCCATTTGGCGCGGGAGGGGCGTCCCCGCAGCCGCCCTCCCCGCGTGGGCCCAGGTCCGGCTTGGCGGAGAACAGCCGGGCCGGCCCCGGCGTCTGACAGGCTGGGGGGGAGGGGGAGGGGGAGGATGGGCGTGGGAGTGCAGACCGGGGTATCAGTCCCGCGTCGCCGTCTCGCAGCGAGGCTTCTAAATTTAGATTTTGGAGGAGACTGCTGTCTGAGGGTTTGTCTGAGCCGCCTCGTAAGACCACTGGCTTATTGGCTTTCACCTGATAATTCCTGGGAATCTACCTGGTTCCTGCTGGAAGAAGCCAAAGGGACCATCTCGACTGATCGTACACATGCTCCAGACCAAACAGAACAGAAGTGGGAACGGGGTGAACAGCGAGGCGACTACGTGACCGGCTTTCTTGTCCGCTCCTTTTTGGCAGATACCGATTGCTGGGATTTGGGCGAGTTTACTTTCCTCCGTGGGAACCGTACCAGAGCTGGAGGTGGGAGTGCACCCTCTTTTCTTAAAGCTTCGATTTCATCCGTTTTTCCTTGCTAAAGTCTATGGTGTGTCCTGGAAGCTGCAACCTAACACTTGTGGGAGAGCAGGGACAGTGTTAAGGGGAAACGTTCCCTCCACCCCACCCCCGCCCCCGCCAAGGACTCACCCTCTTTCTAAAGACAGACAAAGCTGCTTTCCTTTTTAAATACAACCCCTTGTAGAGTTGAATCTCACTGCTTCCCTTTCTCTCACTGCTTCCCATCCCGGTTTTCTTCGAGATGGTGATGTTGAGGGAACTATCCATTTGCATTTTTGTGTGGGTTTTAGATTCGGGCTTGGGAGCTGAGGCAGTGTTAAAGGTAAAACTGTGTAAGTGCCATATAGGGCAATATGTCCTATGGATTTTATTAGCTTTGAATGACTCCAAAACAGTTGTCTAACCCCTGAGATCTTGTGTGTGGTCAAGAATGTACTTTCAGTGCTATTTATTTATGTTCAAGAGTCCTCTACCCTACAGGCTTTCTTTTTTCAGGGAGGGAGAGTATTTGCAGAATTTTCCCTTAATCCCTCAGGTGTGAGTTTCCACTGGGTACCATCTGGTCAGTTCCCCCTTTGGCCACTAGGAGGATTGTGCGATGCAGTGGACACTGCCAATTTAAATATGCAGATGCCCATCTGTTTCCGACTTGTAGCTTTAGTATTGAACTGTTGCCTTACCAAGGTGATCTGAATAGAGCCTGTCTCAAATTATTTGGCCTTCCTTCAGAAGGATCTTTATTACCTTTATCTCACAGTTTCAATTTCTAATCCTCATGGAGAGGAAATTTAAAGATTAGTTAAGATTTCATATTTTCCTTATACAATAGAGAAGTGTAGCTATGCAGATTTTAGACAAATGAAAGACAACCTGCATTATATTCAGCTTTCCGCTTTGTGATTCCACAGACTTACAGGAAAAGTGTGTTTTACTCAATGTGTAATATTCATTCACTGCTTTCTTTAATAACTACTTGATTAGAAAGAAATGATCTACACAAAACTTAGAATAGAGAACACATATCATTAGCATGAGCACTAAGCATACTGCCTTCTAAATAGTTAAAATTGATTTTTATGTATATTTGGAGTTTTTTTTTTTTTAATTAAAGGTCTGAAAAAGAACTGTGTTTGATATGCAGATATGATAGAAGACTGCCTGAAAGCTGCTTCCTTTGCCACTTCCTGTGGAGGCCTGTCTTTGCCATTTGCGGTTTCTTTCTTCTTTTGGTAAGGGGAGGCAGGATCTGATTACAGGTCTGAGGTCCTTTCTAGCTACATAGATGAGTTAGTTGGCATAACAGGAGGTGAGTCTTCACTAACTGAAGTGCAAAGTATAGCTAGTAGTAGCCTCTCATAATGCTTCTTAAAGCAATAAACTACAATGTTATATTTGCTCATTCAGTGTGAATACAATTTGAGAAGGTAGGAACTGAAAGAAAACTTAAGGGGCGATCAGATCCCTATTTTTGTCTTTGGTAGGAAAAAGACTATCTCTTTTTAATCTGTGTCTATTTATTAATTTTATCTTTCAAAGAAATTTTCACAGCTTTCAATACTAATTCATTTCTGACTCTCTAACAACACTTATTGCTGGGAAGGTCTTCTAACTAACCAGGACACTCCAGGCTTAAGTATCTGTTCCCTCCTAATTCAGGGAAGCAGGTGCATGTCTCAGCAGCACTTCTCATCTGGGGAGCTTTTCTATTTCTCCCACTGATTCCTTTGCTATGTAGAGGCTTGATTGAGAGGAGGCACTAAAGTTATTAACTTTGACAACTACTCTAGAGCATGTGAGCAGGGCCAGGGTGATGTTTCACATTGGGGTGCTGAATTAGTACTCAACAATGTGGATGGCATCTGGCTTTTCCGGTGAGAGACTGTCTTCAACATTGGAAGTCTGATTTGCTTTAGTGCCCTGTCATCCACAGTGCCCAGCACTGTGCCTGCCTCACTAGAAAGGGGCTCTGTTTCCTGTGTCATTTGGAGATGTTCCCTTCCTCAGGGATGTGATGCCTTTGTCATCTCCAGGTGAGATCACTTCAAATTCATGAAAAACACCTGGAGACTCCCATTGGTGTAAATTGCAGGGCTTGACTTCCAGTGGGCATGTGAGCTGCTACCCTCTTTAGCTTTTTTTGCTTCCTTTTACAATCATAGGGGCTTATTCCTTCGAGCTCACAATACTACTAACGCTGGTTGCCTGGGTTTTTTGCATCCTTTTTTATCCTGTGATCTTGATCACAATCACTGAACAGTATTCTGGATTCCACAGACGGATTTGGAGTGGTATTCTCTAAATTCTCTGAAGGAGTCCCCTCTTAAACTTCTTGGGTCTTTGATGTGCTAGAGATGCCTTTCTTTCCTTCCTTCCTTTTCTTTCTTTCTTTCTTTCTTTCTTTCTTTCTTTCTTTCTTTCTTTCTTTCTTTCTTTCTTTCAATTATTTATAACTGGTGAGCTTTATGTGCTTAAGAACTATTTTTAAAAATCTTTTTATCTATTAATTTGTATATCTGGGCAAAATGACATGTGCTAACAATATCCTTTTTATTATAGGTCAGTACCCTGCAAGGAGGTAGTAAGATATCCAGTTGTGAAACTGGGAAAGGCCAGAGCTCTTGGATCAGGAAAACATGTCCCGTCGGAAACAGACAAATCCAAATAAAGTTCACTGTGAGTACTGAGTCTTTGTCTTCTGGAATCTGGGAATATTGAGGGTTGGAATAGAAGAGTAATCCGAATTTTAGGTTAGAGGCTCATACTAATTTGTGAAGAAAAAAACATTAAAGGTGTTGAACATGATGGATTTAAAGTGTGTTTGGTTGCTGGAGAAGGTGTTAGAAACTGTCTTGGGAATAGGTGCATTCGATTCATCCTTAGTATTCATATTAACAAACATTTATAGGATATCGACTCTGTGAAAAGCCTTGTGCTAGATGCCTGGGCTGTAAAATAACATAAAGATATATAAGACTAGAATATAGTCACAGATAAATGTGTGTGTATGTATGTGTGTGTATATGTATATACACATACAATGTAATATGTATATGATTGTATGTGCTAAGTGCCAAATAGTGATGATACAGAGTGTGAGTACTACAGAAATTAAGAGGAGGGAGAGAACTTCATAGACTGAGGGAGCAAGGGAATGCTTGATGGAAGAGACCGTGGACCATGAACTTGAACTGGGTCTTAAAAGATAGAAAGTGGATTTTTACAAAAGAGGAAGGGAGAGGTAAAATCAGGTAGGGAAAAAGATAATGAGCAAAGATACAAGAGGGGACACATGTGATATGTTTAGGGGACAAGGAGACTCTGGGTGAAACAGAAGTTTCATGTGTCCAGAAATCATAGGGCATGTGGTTGGAGATGTTTAACTTACATTGTAGAGGTCTAAAGGCCAGGCAAAGTTCAAACTTCTTTCTCTAGATATAAGGAGCCACTGACAGTTTTTAAGGAGCCACTGACAGTTTTTAAGCAAGGAGAGTGGAATGACATTTAGAATGCAGTTTTTTGGGATGGATCACATTAGGGAGAGACTGGTAACAGGAAGACCAGGTATGCACTATTGCCTTGCATTATTTCTCAGCAGTTTTGGATGAATATCTTATTTTGGTATTGGATTATAAACTTCAAGAGGGCAGAGACCATGTCTCATGTATATTTCCTGCTATCCCTCTCAACTTCTAACACTGCTCATAGAGAGTGTTCCAGTACCTTAAAGTACCTTATAAAATTAATATTACTATATCTATGTAGATTTGGAATAATTAATCAGTTTCCTATGACTTGGGGAGATGAACATCCCCACCCAAATGTTTATAAAAGAGACAAATAGCTCCCTATTATGGAGGAATGACCAAATAAAGTATAGCAACATTTGAAGAGAATTCAGTGGTATAACATATGAAAGATTTTTTTAAAGGGGGGAAAAAAATATCCTACATTTGAGAGGATAGACAAGGAGTTAAGAGAAGAGCATCAAAATTTCTTTAAAAACATACTGTGTGACAAGCATTGTGTACCTTATCTTATTCAATAATTTCAAGAGTAGGAGGAAAAACAGTAGGAGCTGAAGAATTAAGAGGACTTCAGCATCTTATAGACAATGAAATTAGGGTAGCAAGCCTCCATATACAATGAATTCTTTGTGTCCTGAAAAAATGATGTAAGACAGAACAAGTTGGATGCTCCTACGAGTGTACTCTAGGTGGGTGTGGAAGGTTGCTTAATATGAAGGTGTGTGAATTGAGGTTTTAGAAATTGCTGCTAAACGGTAACACTTAGTAGGCCTGAATGTGAGGATTGATAAGAAAGAAAATGAAATAGTCTAGCATAGGTAATCCAACACAGTAGTTTAGGAGGATTGTCTTCTCTCTGGTTGAAAGTGAGTATTGATTGATAAAAGACACTGATGTGACCCCTAAGAAGGCAGGGCAGGAAAAGTACTCTTTTTTTTTTTTTTTAAAGAATTTATTTATTTATTTTGAGAGAGAGAGGAAGTGAGGGAAAAAGAGAAGGAGAGAAATATCAATGTGTGGTTGCCTCTTGCATTCCCACAACTGGGGGCCTGGCCCACAACCCAGGCATGTGCCCTGACTGGGAATCGAACTGGCGACCCTTGGGTTCACAGGCCGGAACTCAGTCCACTGAGCCACACCAGCCAGGGCAGGAAAGGTACTCTTAATAGAAATGTTGGGTTCATGAATAAGGCAATCATAGGATTTGAGCATTTACCTATATAAACCTTCTGTTCAGAGAGACTGGTTAGATTTAAAGAAAGGTGATGGGTAGATGATGGTGGCATGGTTGTGGTAAGGCCAGGGGAGCCAGTAAAGGCTTGTGTGGTATATGCCTTGTCCGTGCAACATATACCCTACTTTGCCGTGTGTAACGTGCACCCACATTTTAATACTAATTCCCATGTATAATGCACATCCTTATTTTTCCCTCAGAAATTTGGGCAAAAAATTGCGCATTATACACAGCAAAATATGGGTATCCATCAGCTGCATCTCCTCCCACTATAATCAGTCAAACCAGGATGAGCTGGTATTAGTGTTGGACAAACAGGTGGACAACCAGGCCACAGAGAAAGAGAGAATATCACACATCCACAGCTGCAGAAATGCAGTTTCCAGAGCCAGGGAACATTGTGTTGTGGTGGAGTGGGTGGGATTTTGTAGCCTCTGTTGCAGTGACATGAAGAGAGCTGTGAACAGAAATGTTCAGCTGCAACTAAAAAGCAGACCCAAGGGAGAGGCTGTTTTCAGTGATGTATTTGGGCAGGGCTTCTTAGGTGATGTACTGAGCTTGACCAAAGAAGAAAAGACAGTGAGATTTACTGGTCTCTAAGGACCATCTATTTATTTACTATTTGGAGACTGAAGCTGATCCTACCTTTTTTTTTTTTTTTAAGATTTTATTTATTTTTAGAGAGATGGGAAGGGAAGGAGAAAGAAAGAGAGAGAAACCTCAATGTGTCAGAGAAAAATCATCAATTGGTTGCCTCTCGCATGCCTCCGGCTGGGGCCTTGGCCTGCAACCCAGGCATGTGCCATGACCAGGAATCGAACTGAGGACATTTCGGTTCGCAGGCCAGTACTCAATCCACTGAGCCACACCAGCCAGGGCCCTATCTTATTTGAAGGGGCATCTTCTCATTGCCCATGACAATAATGTTAAGTAGAAATTGGTAATTTCAGTCTTCTGACCACTTGTGTCTCTTATCCCCTTGCAGTGAAAACAAACCAATGAAATGTATTGAATTTTATGCTGCTTGTCTATTTAAAGTAAATGGAATGGACTCAAGGTCTGGGAGGCAGGAAAATCTACAGAAACTCTGCTCCAATAGCAAAGCCAGTCGGCACCGAGCAGAGTAATGGCTGAGCTTTATTAGATAGATCTGCCTTCTGGGAAGAAGAAGATTATGTGGCCTGAAGCTCAAAGGCTGTCTAAAAGAATATATTACGACCCCCCACTGCTGTGGCATGGCAGCATTCATCTGATCCACTTTAGAGGCCAAAGGGCAGGCTGCTCTGACATTTACTTGGCTTTCCTCAGGACTGTCTGTATCTCAGAAATATCCAGGCAGATTCTTGTGTTTTACCCAGTTCATTAATAGACTTGTTGAAAGCTTTTGGAATAAAAGCCCAGAATTGTTAGTCACAGATAAACTGCTAATGGGCTAAAATCTGTTAGACCTTCTCTCCATTCTTCCTCATCTCACCCCTTCTGAGTGTAAGTTCTTGTCAGCTGTTTCTAGACAGGTTGAAAATAGAGTGCCTTGAACACTCCCATTTCGTGTGTTTATACCAAGCAAACCACTAAGAAGAGGAAGACTTTTTCTTAAGAGTTTCTGTTTTCTGATTGCAATGTACATATTAAAAACTTTCAGCTAAAATTAAAAGCTTTTCAGCTTTTACAGAGAAGTAGGGAAAAAAAAGCCTTTGTAGTCCCTTCTCTTCTAAAAAGTACAACTTGTTTTATCTTCATTCATTCTGTTAGCTTCCCTGTGAGGTAAATGGTTATGTTCCCACCATGTGATAGCACTATGGGTTACAGAGATTGTCAGTCAGATATGGAATCCTAAGTTCCTCTCTTCCAATACTAGCTTATTTTTTATGAATTTCACATCTGCTCTGTTAGAATATATTTCAGCTGCTATACTTAATTTCTTTCAGCTGAAACTGCGTTTCTGGGGCAGGCAAAGTAGGTTTACGCTTGTATGTGAAACACAGTTTATTCTTGTGTTATTATTTATTAAATATTGTATTATTTTCAATACAAATAACTGTACAACTCCTTTTGCCCACACCTATATTTAACTGCACTAAGGACTCAAGAAAGAGAATTTTCAAATCTTTGTCTTTTCAATAGCTTTCATTTCAGGCTTCTCTTCTGCAAACTTGCTTGCATGGCCTTGTTTTTATCTAGTCTGAAAAACCTTAGCCAATCAAACAGTATCTTGATTTCATACTAAAATAAGGAGAGGTGACACCTTGCTTTTTACTGTGGGAGCTTAGATGACTCGTCTTCAACTATTAATAGACAAATACCCATGTTAAAGAAGATGGTTGCCCTACATCAATATCTAGAGATTAGAGGATTTTTTTAACCTACTCCAACAGTCTCAAGATAGAAGGAAATAATAATTCTATGTTATACAAGCAGGCAATTGTATAACACTTCTTTAATCACTAGTATCTCTATGAATCACATTATATTTAATTATGACATACTTTTAGCAAGTATCACTATCTTCTTGTGAAAGGAAAATTCTGGACAGCCAGATTTTAGGGATTAGGTAAATAATGACTACTGGGAGATCATTCACATATCTTTTCCTATGAGGTCTGCCAAAATCATGTCTTTTTTTTAATGGTTTTTATATAGTTTGCTCTGGTTGATGTTTAAAATAGGAGTGGCCCTGAGGAATAAAGTTTACCTTAGCCTTTTTTCTCAAGTCAGGGACAGAATAAAATATAAAAGCACAGCTTTTCTCTCCAAACTGCCGAAAAGTAATGACAGAATTAATTTATCCCGACTGTCCTAGGTGAGATTGCCTAGGTGAGCAAAAAGTCCTGGATAGGGAAGTTGTATGGAACAGACTCTTCTCTGTTCTGTGAGGGTCTAAATATTTAAGTAAAATATTTAGACAAAACTAAAATTTAAGCTCCAGTTGATAGAGACCAAACTGAATTACTAGCTGATGTTGAAAGATACATATTCTTTTAGATACCCTTTTACTAATCCAGTGGGTGGTTCCTTCATTAGAAGCGGTGGGGAAGCATACGAGGTCTGTCTGGAAAAAATCCAGCCATTTTTTTAATGAGAACAGTTTGTGCAACGTTGATGTAACCTGGAGAGTGGACTGGAGTGTGCATGAATGAACAATGACGGCTTCACTGTACTAAGTCCTTGGGGGCTGTAGATGCTGTTGAGTGAGCATGTGTACTGTGTGGCTGTTGCATTCAAATGACTGAGCAATTAGAGGAACAAATCTACATTAAATTTTGCATTAAGCTTGAACATTCCTCCGTGGAAACTATTCAGATGATTCAGAAGTCCACCGTTATGAGCAACTGGTGATTGGCAGCTTCATCAGACAATGCACCTGCTCATGCATCATGTCTTATGCAGAGTTTTTCTGGCAAAACATCAAATCATCTATGTGACTCAGCCCCCCTGCAGTCCAGATTTAGTTCCTCACGACTTCTGGCTTTTCCAAAAGCTAAAATCACCTTTGAAAGGGAAGAGATTTCAGACCCATCGATGAGATACAGGAAAATACGATGGGGCAGCTGATGGCTATTGGGAGAACTGTGTGAAGTCCCAAGGTGCATACTTTGAAGGGGACTGAGGCATCATTGTCCTGTGTACAATGTTTCTTGTATCTTCTTCAATAAATGTCTCTATTTTCCATATTACATGGGTGGATACTTTCCGAACAGACCTCGTATATTTTTAATATGCTATAAACCTAGCTGGTTTCTGGCTTGGTGTCTTTAGATATGAGCACTATCACTGATAAGAATGATCTGCCCCTTGATTATTAATTATAAGCTGGTACATAACTTGTTCCTTAGTGCCATATATGCCCATAGTCACCAGATCTGAAAACATGCATCTACCCAGAAGAATTCAGTGACTATTTTAGTTGGCATGGTCTTGTGGTTACAGTGGAACCAACATGGAAAAATTACATATTTTACCTCTGCAAAGAAAGAAGACATAATAACACAGAATTCATAGTTTGCCTTCTCTAGCAGTAATTTATATCAAGTGTGTCATCTTGGATATTATGAAAATGGACTTAAAGCAGCTTATTTTTCCTTTACTTGAGGGCTGTGTAGTTGCAGTAACTTGAACTCTAACCACCTCTACTCCCACTCACAGTATCAATGCAGCCATACTATTAATTCCTCTAACCCAGGCATGATACTACCACATGATATCAGAACCATCAAAATGATGGTTCCTTTTGTCATATACTGGCCCTAAAAATATTATTTTCATATTTGACTTGTGTTTATCAGTTTCCCATGATATGAAGGTAGCAGTAACACTAAAATCAGAGCCATTCTTCTCACAGAGACAGCATTTGTTTTCAGCAAAACCACACTGATAAACTGGCTAACCTTCTGCTTACATCTCTACTACAAGGCAGCTTAAAAATATGGGTATTAGAGTTGGCCAGACCTGGGTTTGAATACTTAGTTCCACCATAGACCTTAGTATTCCCTTAAGTAAAATTTGGGTAGTAATACCTACTACATAAAATTTTACAGAGAATTAAGGTAAGGTAACAACTATAAAGCACAAAACATAGAGTCTGGAGCTAGGAAGTGCCAAATTACTAGCTATTATTAGTGCTCAGCACTTTACATATAGTAGACACTCAAAGAATTTTTGCTGAATGAATGCCTAAGTAATCCCATGAAGCCTTATTCACATCAATTCTTTCACTGCCTAAGGACTAGCAGTTCAGATCAACTAACCTGTTCATTTCTCCTACATCATTGTCTCCTGCCTTGGAACCTGAGCCTGTTTACTTCCCTTTCTCTCCTCAGTAAGAAAGCGCTGTTGGTCTATTGCCAAACATTTCACTAGGGCTTTTTATTATTCTCTCATGGTGGCTGGAGAATGGGGACTGTAGTTTCCACTCTGACTGAGATAATGGAAACCTCAAGAAATCCAATTCTCTTTTCTCCTTATGCCTGGCCTCTTGGAAATAAAACAGCACTTAAATATTAACTCTTCAGTAGCCACACAGATCCCAGGCAGAGTTCATTAAAAAAACAAAACAAAAACACACATTGGATCATTGGACTAGGGACACTAATGGCAAGTTTCAGGAAGTGTGTTCCTCAGCAGAAATGGGTTCATATATTACCTGTCCTCCTTTTAATCCATTACTCAACTAGTTGTGGATTTGCTTATGGCTAATCCTGATAGACATCAGAACAGGAGTCAAGGGAGAACTTCCAGAGTTGTTTTAGGAGAGTGGATGAAAGACAGGATTCGATACTGCTGTCTAGATGGATTACTTGAAGTGCTGCTTCAGTAGTCAGAGACAGACACTGACCGGCATAATGCGAGTACGATAAGATGCATAGATTGTGCCCAGATTTGTTGCCCTATCTTTATCCTCTCCCTTTGCTTCTTCTTGCCGCTGTCTCCCCAATTCTGATGGAAGGTTGTAAATGGAATTGAGATTCTGAAGCTAAATTTGTAAAGTAGCAATTGATCACCTTTTGTAAACGAGTCAAGATTAGGAGGATTTAATGGAAGCAAATGAGGCTTTCTGGAGCATCTGGCTTACTGCCCAGGAAGAGCAGCTGCACCCAAACAGTTGTAGGCAACAAGCTGACTTGGAGATGAATGACTCCACCACAGGGTACCTGCCTGTCTCCCACCTTTGAATGGTCTGACTTTCCAACCAGCTTGCCTGGGGATGTGCTGCCCAGCTGGTGGCCTGACTATTTTTCCTTGTGACCACCAGGGGATCAAGTATTTGCTGGGCTAGAAGAGCAAGCCCGCCAGGCGATGATGAAAACTGATTTTCCTGGAGACCTTGGCAGTCAGCGACAAGCTATCCAACAACTAAGAGATCAGGACTCCAGTAGCAGTGAGTTCTGCACCTTCTGGTAATGACTCAGGGCAATGGGAGAGGAATTATCAGAGTGTGTGTGCTCTGGGGATTGTGCATGGGGTTGGGAGGAAGACATGAAGAAGGAGATTTGTGGATCCTCAGTGTTCCCAAAAGTGTCCTAAGGTGTATGGGCATATGCTCATCCAGGGAGAGAACAGGCTTGGCATCTAGTTGTTTTTTGACTCATGGACTGCTGGACTTGGCACAGTGCCACATACAGAGAGGTTTGTGGTAATTGTGACAGACGGGGCATAGGAGTCATCAGCGCCCAAGCAGCCCCTGAGTTAGGCCAAAGGAAAATTTTTTAAATCCCTGTCTCCTTGGATATATTTACTCAGAATTAATGAAATGTAAGAGTGGCATTAATGAAACTTTTGCTTGAGGGCCTAGTTTATATGTTATTTAAGAGACGTTGTGTACTAATGAGATTTTGCATCATATCAAATGCTGACACCAAGTCTTCCCTTCCCGCATCAAGTCCTAACCACAGGCGATCCCTGCGGTTAAGAGATGAAAAGACAGTGGCCGGTTCCCGGTTGAGCCTTGTGGATCATCTGTCCGTGACCTGGCTGAACAAATACACTTTGAGATGTGTTATTTTCTGTGATGATTTCCATACTTTACTAATCTCATCCAATACTGGTTGTTATTAGTGTCAATTCAGAGAGGCATTTCAGATTGTCCTCCACATGTGGGGTTGAGGAAGAACAAAGAGGGAGAGAGTTCTGCAACCTTCTAGGAGCTACAGTTTCCACTCAAACTAATAACTTAGCAACAAAAAAATAATAATAATTTAGGAATTACTCAGGTAGAGAAAAATGAACCCAAATATTTGTACAAAACCTGTGGGAGCCACCAGTTTGAGTCACAGGTAGGAATGGCAGTATCTATAAAAGTCTGATTGATTTCCACTCTGGCACAGATGCATCATCCCTCTGGGTAGCATACTTATTCCTTTTTAAATCTTTCTAGTAGAGACATATATTTGGATTTTTGATAAATTACAAAAATGTGTTTGATACAATGTTGTCTTAGACTGAGTTTACAAGTATTCCAGATAAGCTGGTAAGAAAATGTGGTATGATTTAACCTGTGCCAATCCTTCATTACTGAAAAGGATTCAGACTAAAGCTTTGGGCTGGGGAGTAAGGCATGCATACCATACCAAATCCAGCCAAGTGGGGTATCTAACAGAGAGATGCTACTAAATACTAACAGATGATTTAGTTAGATTTTCTTAGGAAGAAAGGGAATATAACCAGTTTTGCCCAGATACTGGTGTACTTAGAAATTGTGCAAGGGATAGAAGAGAAAAGACAAAAACATTATTAGCTAGGAAAGTTGAGTCTCGCTGCTGATGCAGAGACTGGTGAAAATCTACCCTATCTTGCTCACAGTCAGACCTAGGGCTCCAGGGTGTAGGTGGCCTTGGGATGGGGCTGGAGTCTGAGAGCTTCCCTGGCTTGGCTTCCTCTTGTGATCTCTAAGGCACTAGCCCTCTTTTTTTCCTTTCAGAAAGTACTCCCTTTGTTATTGTGGGTTTCTCTTAAAAAAAAAAAAAAATCATTTTCCCTTCTTTATAAGTAATGGGGTAGAAAGTCAGCTCCCACAAATCTTGAAGTTCCCCTGGCCACAGGCAGACCTCCCCTCAGCTACATTCTGCCCTAAAACTAAAACACTCAATTCTTACTTTAGCCACAATAAATTATATTTCATTCTAAAGTAAAGAATAACCTGTTCCTTCTATGTAATGCATTCAGCCTTCCATCAGATAATCCAAAGAACCGACAGAAACAATGGATTTATTTAGCCTAGAATGCTGAGTTACTAGCAGAGTAATAAGAACACAGTGAGTCAAATACCACTGCAAAGTGCCTGAGGTTGTTTGCTGTCTAATTTTTCCACTGTACTGAACAGCCCTTTCCCTATAAAGTGACATCATTTTAAGCTAATTTACTACTGTCTTCCTTATCGATTACAAGGAAGAAAAACTTGTTGGTGTTTCTTTAAGTGTGTCTTGGGGATTTTTTGGAGAAGATAGATCAGTGGGACTCAGAATAGAATAGCACACATGACATCATGGCGAAATTGTGCAGGGGGTTTCGGAGAAAAGTCAGTCAAGTCAGAAGTGTTGGTAAATCGGAGGTGGTGTGTTGTGGGAACGAGCATGGTGTGAGGTGCATGGGAGGTGTGATTTGAAGTATAAGATATTTGGGGACCATGTGTAAGAAGTTACGATGATGATGATGATGGTGTACAGGGCCCAATAACCATTTCCCAATGCAGTTTTGCCTCAGATTTTCTCGTTAGTGTGTATATGGCGTTATAAAAAACAACTGTAGCTGGCTTCCGCTTAACATGATTTGAACCCAACTGAGCACTGATACAAACTATATCATAGAAGACCTGAAAATGTTTTCCATTATGGCTGCAAACTCTAGGGTGGAAAGCAACTCAAGATGTATTCATGCAAAAATCAGAACAAGTGACCAGTTTGTGTGTTCCAGGTGACAGTGAAGGTGATGAAGAGGAGACCACACAAGATGAAGTCTCTTCCCACACATCAGAGGAAGATGGAGGGGTGGTCAAAGTGGAAAAAGAGTTAGAGAATGCAGAACAGCCTGTTGGTGGGAACGAAGTGGTAGAGCATGAGGCAAGTGACAGATGGCTCCCGAGTCCAGGAACCCCCTTCCCTGTCCGCTCGGCCCTGATGCCTCTCGTCCCCATATTTGGCCTCTTGCCTCGGACAGCCTCCTGGGCCTTCATATGAAGCCTCTCCTCCTTCATAGCACCAGTCACCCAAGCCTCAGACACACAATTCTTAACACACCCAGCTTTCCTTTCCACCCGCATATCACTACATCATGTCTAGCTCTCCTTTCTGAAGCTCCCCGCTTTTTTCCAGACAGAATATCCACCTTTGCAAAACTATTAGCTGACTTCCTGAGGCGTGCGCTTGAGTATGCTTGCAAATTTAAGTCAAAGTGTTGCCTCACTAAATTGTTTCCTGAAGATTCCTGCAAGAAGCATGGCAGGAGGGAACCTAATCCTCTCTCTACAGAGTTTAGGTTGAGGGTAAAAATAGCCTAGCTCTCTCTGGGGCAGTCCTGTGCCCTCATGGCAGGAAGCCATGGAGAAAATGAAGATGGGTCCAAATTTAATTCCCTTCCACCTATGAGTTTTTACTTTGGTCCATATGGAAACCTAAGATGAATATGGTGATATCAGGTTGTGTTTTTTATAGTGGGATACCCTGTAAAAAGAAGTAGAGGCAAGGGAAGAGACTGGTCAACAGTCTTAATGAATTGCCTACTGATTGAATTGCAGGTCACGGAGAATTTGAATTCTGACCCCTTACTTGGACTCTGCCAGTGTCCCCTCTGCCAGCTAGACTGTGGGAGTCGGGAGCAGCTGATTGCTCACGTATACCAGGTATGACGTGGGGAGCTGTGTGCTCTGGAACTCGAGTGCCAGCAGCTTGTCTGGCTTTTCCTCCAGCTCCTAAAGGGACCTTGGGTTGTTGCTGTCATTAAGAGTGCACTCCAGTCTTTAGAACATTTTGGAGAATAAGTGCAATATGTTGGGTAAATATTTTCTGGGGTTCCCAGACAGACATACTATGAAAATTAAGTACCATTTTTTAAAAAATTACTTAATGCCTATTTTAAATAGTGGAATAAAAACTAATATCTGTTAACAATGAGGGCTTTGTTTTAAAGAATAAAAAATGAGTTACATAAATGTTTCTGAAATACTGGAGAAAGTTAGTGTAAATTAGGGGATCAGGATAAGACAGACTTGTGGTTTTTCTACCCTGATCTAGTCACAGAACCCCTGTGCCCAGTGAAGCAGTGTTGAAAAGACATCAGCACACATGCCCCCCTGGGTTGTAGCATCAAGAGAGAGAGTTTATGAGGAGAACTCATTTCTTCAAAAGACTCTTTTTAAAAGACTGAAGGAAAGGCAGGACACTTCAATAGCTTTTGGATACCAGTCTTCTTCGTTAGCTTCTAGCCTGGCCTTTATTGCTCCCTTCCCATGGCCTTGTACCTGCACAATGTGAGGCAGGCAGGCAGAGAGAAATTATCATGAGCATGAATTCCTCTCAGACTCTGAGGACAGCCCTGGAGCTCCATTGTTCCTCAGTTCAGCCACATGTCCCAGAATGTAGTCGGAAGTCAAACTAATGAAACGTGAGCAATGGTCTGAATGGTCTGGTCCTTCTGAAAGCCCATTAACACGAGACACTTTTAATTTTCCGGGTGCTAAACAGGGAGAATAGTTGCAAGGCCCTTGTTTTCTGAGACTAAGGAAAGGAGGGGCTATTTCCCAGAAAGTAGTTCCTAAGTGGGTATAGATTGTCCCGGAGGAGACATGAGTTGACAGATTAAAGTTCTGTTTTGCAGCACACTGCAGCAGTTGTGAGCGCCAAGAGCTATATGTGTCCTGTCTGTGGCCGGGCCCTTAGCTCCCCTGGGTCATTGGGTCGCCACCTCCTAATCCACTCGGAGGACCAGCGGTCTAACTGTGCTGTGTGTGGAGCCCGTTTCACCAGCCATGCCACGTTCAACAGGTTAGCTGGGCACCTAACCCTCTTGTGTTGGGAGCAAACTATTGGGTCTGGGTTCTGCTTTCCCAAGTAAAGTAAAGACTACTTTACTTTACTTTACTTTCAAAGTAAAGACTAGAGATAGGCAATGCAAAGGCAACTCATTCTTCACTCTTTGGAAATACAAATAATGAGGCCAGTAAAGATGCCCATTGCATTATCTATCCCCAAAGGAAAATTAATTCCCATTTCTTTTCCCTACCAGAGTAATATTTTCATCTAGAAAGAGATGTAGGGAAGTCTAAGAACATTCACGACAAAGCATGGAGAAAGAGGTTAAGCGTGCTGAGAGGACCCTAATGCGAGGACATAGTCCCTGCTGTGTCCCAGGAAGACTGGCACAGGGCGATTGTGTCCCAGTCCGGTGTGCTAGTGTATGGTGCAGAGCTGGCCAGGGCAGGAGGAGGTTGGGCCAGTGGACTGCGCCTGCCCTGAAGGCAGGCTGCCCCCTTCCACAGTAGGAATGCCCTGCACAGCTCTGACCAAACACCACCATTCGGGCTTGAATGAAAAGGTCTCATTGTAATGGCTTGTCTGGTTTCTGGTGGCTTGCTGTGGCAGTTGGTTCAGTCTCTAACTCCAGGTGGGCTTTAAAATGTGCTGTACATACTAGTCCAAAGAGCAGGGGTGGAGAAAAGTAAGTGGCCTCCCAAGCACTCAAACTGACTATTAGTGGTGAATTTGGAGCAACTGGTCTAGTAGGATAAGAGTAAGTCAGAATTAAATACCTAAGCCTTGCTAGAAGGTGACACTAACCATCCACAATTTTTGCTTTCCAGTGAAAAACTTCCTGAAGTACTTAACATGGAATCCCTACCCCCAGCCCACAGTGAGGGTCCCTCTAGTGCCGAGGGAAAGGACATTGCCTTTAGTCCTCCAGTGTACCCTGCCGGAATTCTGCTTGTGTGCAACAACTGTGCTGCCTACCGTAAGCTGCTGGAAGCCCAGACCCCCAGTGTCCGCAAGTGGGCCCTCCGTCGACAAAATGAGCCTTTGGAAGTACGACTGCAGCGACTGGAACGAGAGCGCACGGCCAAGAAGAGCCGGCGCGACAATGAGACCCCCGAGGAGCGGGAGGTAAGGCGCATGAGGGACCGCGAGGCCAAGCGCCTGCAGCGCATGCAGGAGACAGATGAGCAGCGGGCACGCCGGCTGCAGCGGGATCGCGAGGCCATGAGGCTCAAGCGGGCCAATGAAACCCCGGAGAAGCGGCAGGCCCGGCTCATCCGGGAGCGTGAGGCCAAGCGGCTCAAGAGGAGGCTGGAGAAAATGGACATGATGTTGCGAGCTCAGTTTGGCCAGGACCCTTCTGCCATGGCAGCCTTAGCAGCTGAAATGAACTTCTTCCAGCTACCTGTGAGTGGGGTGGAGTTGGACAGCCAACTCCTGGGCAAGATGGCCTTTGAGGAGCAGAACAGCAGCTCTCTGCACTGAACCACAAACACCTTCCTGCCTGCCCTCCCACTCACCCAAGCCCCAGGATCAGTGCTGCAACCACCCACAGGGCCATGTCCTTGCTGCCGGAGGGGCCCAGGTTTGTTGCAGGTGGACCTGCACCCTTTGCATGTCGGAGCAGGATGAGGAGGTCAGGAGGAACCCAGCTAAGGGCTGGACCAGGGAGCAGGCACTCCAGAGAACTGGACTCCCCAGCCCACTGCTGCAGGGCATGTTGTAGGACTGTGGGGCCCCAGGGCGGCCCACGCAGTTGTGAGAGCAAATAAATTAATTTTATCATTATTGGCCCTTTCCTGCTTTTCTCTCAGTTTCCTTCTAGCAAATGAAGTGATCTGAGAGAGACCTTGGTGGAAGGTGTCAGGCAGTGACTTCTGGCAGTTGTCCTTTTCTGAGGGAGGGTGCTCCTCAACTGAGGCTCTCCAAGCAAAGATCCCTAGGTATTTGGGCCTTTAAAAGTTGATGAGACGTAACTATGACATCAAAGAACCGATGCTGACTTTGTGAGGGTCCATTCTCACAACGCTAATGAATGTAATTCACAGTCCCAAGGGCTAGAAAAACCTAGCCTACCTTTTCCAAACTCAGTAGATGCCTTTCCTTATAACTGGCATTTTCTTTTAAGTTGTTTCATACTACTTTATTTAGGGGGGTTCCATTTTCACTCCTCAATTCACTTTGTGCATTTCTCACGTTTCTTCACTTATTAACACATCTAATTCTGAAGGGTTACTCAGTGTCGTCTTGATCAGCCAACCACCTTCACACAAGATTTGTTGACAAGTCCTGGATTTTCTGCAAGTGCTTCATTAATTTCAGTTACTTCTCCTGTTAGAGGAGAATTGAGTTCACTAGCAGCTTTCACACTTCCCAAAGCAACTTGTTTGTTCCATTTTTGTCCCAATTTCAGGCAGACTACAGTAAACATTCTCAAAATTCCCTGTGCAAAATTGCTGATTCCCACTATTCCGATATCACTTTCTGTTGTTACCCATTCACATTTCTCCGTGAACATGTGTACAGAGAACAGATTGGGCCCAGTGCACAGCACTGGCCTCAGGCCCCAGGGCCACAGCAGGCAGAACGCAGAGTGCAGGTGGGAGGGGGTTATTGTGGCAAAACTCTGGCCACCCCCTCAGTGGGGGACAAAACTGGCATCTTCTAAAAAGGATATGCTATTTAGGTGCTGGCTACTTTTCCCAGCAAAATTCAATTTACCGAATTTTTAAAATTCTATCCCAGAAAGCAGACAGCTGCACTTAGGAATATGTTCATAGAAATAGCTACAATATTAAGGTCCACAGAACCAAGGAACTCATGTTTGAGAGAAGAGGTAATTCATCTTCTTACTTACTTCCCAGAGCCAAAGTAGGATAATCCAGAGTTAAGGTGATATGAGAGATCAAGTCAATAGTGGTGAAGGCTAGTGCGAAATGACTACTCTGACAGTTTGTATGGCTGCCAAACTGTGGAGGAGACAAGGGCTGAGGTCATTTCCAAAAAGCTTCTGTGATGGCACAGAACAAGCACAGAACTTTCCTTAGCCTGCACCAAAGGTTGTGTACAGTTTAGATAATTATAGATCTTGAGGTCCAGGAGGAAGTGGCCTAGTTAAGTTGTAGCCAGAAAAATAACTATGCCAGAAATGTGGACCTCTTCCAATATCATAACAAGGAAACTTGGGCTCTTCTCTGACCTTTATTGGTTCAAGGTTATTTAATAGTGTTACCTGATCCCCATCCCCAACCACCAAACAAGGGTTAATTTCTTCCAGGGAGGCTGAAATATTTCTGTTCTGAAAAATACAAAAATTTCACTAAGCTTATTATGAACTACTGGACATTTAAAAGAAAGTAATTAAATCAAATGCCTTTCTCTCACAGAGCTCCTTACTGAAGGCTTACCCGGGATCTTTTAAAATGGTTGTGCACTCACTACGTGTCAAAGACTATTCTGAGCACTTTACATTTACTTCATTTAGCTTTCAGAACTGTAAGGTAACAGACTCAGGAGTTAGATGCCTGGATTTAAAATTCTGCACTGCTATCTAATAGCTGTGTTACCCCTGGCAAGTTATTTGACCTCCATCTTGGTTTTTCCACCCATAAAATATAAATACTACTACTAGCAACAAATGATTGTTAGTATATAATGTACTTAGGATAGTTCGTAGAACATAGCTCAATAAGTGTTATCTTGTACCTGAGTGGCAAGCTTTCTGAGTCAGAAGCAGTAACTATCATTGGAACTGACTTATTTCAGCAATTTCTGACAGTATTCCTGAGGGAAGAAAAATGGGAGACAAGGCCACCAATGAAGACATCTACAGGTCCTTTTGATTGACTATGCTAGTATCTAAGCCTGCAAGTAGACTTCTGGGTCTCTGAAATACACAGCAACAAACTGTGCAGAGCATGCTCCAGGACTAGCTCTCATAATCTACCTAGAGTCCACCACACGAACATAGGTACCACATGCTCTCTATTGCAAGCTCGCCCACAGAGGGCTTCTGTCCCCCACCCAATGACCATCTAAGGCTGGGATAGGAAAAAGGCGCAAACACCAAAAGGAAAAGCTAGTAGTTTATATAGATAGATATATAGATATATAGATATTGATATATATTGTTTACATAGTCCACAAGTTAAATGCAGGTATCCATAAGAAGAGCATTAACAATAAAAATACAATCTGTGTGTAGCCAAGTACAGAGACTTAAAATGGTAAAACAGCAAAAAGGATCTCACAAAAATACAAATATACAGTACAAATTGATTTATTTAAAACAGTTACAAAAAAGCACAACAAAATAGAGATTATCCTTAGAATTATTAATGCTTTGTTAAAGATCAGGTAGGATTAGAGGGTAAGAAATGGTGTGGGTCGGGGGAGCACCTGACTAGTTCTAAGGCTTTAGATACAATGCAGTTGATTACATATTAATTCAGCCATTACATACTTGGGATGGTAGTTGGGGGTCAGTAATTTATCTACAGGGAACTCCTACACCAATCAGATCCATCCAGACCTCCCCAGTGCCAACCTTCTCGATTCCTCGGGACCCTAAAACCAACTGGATGACATTCCCATCCTTCTTTCTCCACCCCATTCCCTACCCATGTTTCCCTCCCCTAAGGTGCTGTGCAAGCTGAGAGCGGTCTGCTCTCTGCAGCTGGAACATAGACTGTTTTGGCTACAGGGATCCTATGTGTGACTAAGGAGCTTGTAGGGGACAGCCTTATTTTTAATACTTCAAGTTTGTCACAAAAACAGTCAGTCTCTCCCCCAACACAAGACTCAAATGTGAGCATCAAGCCAATGAGAGATGAACCCTGCCTTCAGCAATACCAGCAATGCACTGACCACTCACATCTCACAACTACGTGCAAACTCCCTGTCCAGGGAGCGGGTGTAAAACCACTGCATCATCGGCTCACGCTCTCTCTGATGAACCTCAGTCCCCATGACAGTCGTAAAGACAGAAATAAACGCTTGCAAGTTTGACAATAGGTAAAGGCACGTGGGCTGCTGCCACACACACACTGCAGACAGGAACCCAATTTGGGACCACCTTCACTGCTGTGCATTTGCAGTTAGAATGGGACCACACAGACTTTTGAGTTTGCAATCTACCGAGGGAGAATCTAGGCTTAACAGAAATAATAAAGAAAACTTAGTGTGAAAAGTGCATTTATTACTACTGTTCCTGCTGGGGAGGTTCAGCAGGGCTCACCACACCCCCTTTCCTCCGTCTGCCCCAGGCACTGTGCATAGTCTGCAGGTGAGGAGAGAGCGCAGTCAACTCTAGCATCTCAAGGGCCCATGTCATCCTCGGCCCAGACCAGAAGGCTTCCTGGTCCAAAGAATGATCCTAGAGTTGAAAGAGCAACTGACAGCTGCAAGGACCCACATGCTTATTTTATTATTGCATAATATAGGAGGCCTTCTCTACTCCAGGAAAGCTTGGAGAGTGAAGGCTTCCCAGCAAAGGACTAATAGGTTTCTGGTCAACATCCAACTCAGCACAGTTCAGCTCTTCAACTGTAGTGTACACTTTTTCCCATCTGGAAAGTATTGTAGCTTCAGTGTGGTTTAGTAAACTTAGCTCTAGGAAGCCAAGAAGTCTCCCTAAAACTTGGCCTCTGCCCTATTTACTTTGCTTTTAAGACTGTGACCTAATCTCCCATGGCCAATTAATCAGGTTATCTCTACTTCAATGGACCCAGGCCCTTCCCCAGTCAACACATGTCCACACTTCATCTCCAGTGTGATCACTCAACCCTTCAATATGCCTGCCTGTTGCAAGTTTAAATAATACCACCAACCTGTGCATCTCCTATGATGCCCACTGGTAAAAATAAAACTAAACCCCACTGAGGGGCTATTTCAGTCAAACTTCAAACCCTTTCCCAACCCCAGACCAGAATCCACATAACTGGAGCCAGATGAACTTCCCTGGGATGCTGACACTACCCTAACCTGGTTCCCTGTCATTTATTTTTAAAAACACGGATACAAGATACCACAAAGGAAAGACATTAATACACACAAAACACCCACTAGTAGGACCGGCTTGTTTCTCCCTCAAGACACTCAGGTATCTGGAGCTCAAGGGCTCCCAACAAGCACTAAAACCATATCCCTTTGGATTCACCCGCCCACCAGCAGCAACTCATACAATTCCTATTTCCCTTGACTTTGCTATAAAGTAACACTTGCACAGGTGAGAATGAAAAGGATGCCTGGATTTCATCTACATGGCCAGAGACAGGGAAGGACAGGGAGCTATAAAGGGCAGCAGGCAGGACAGTGAGCAGACAGCAGCAGTGGCAAAGCAGCACAAACCAAAGCCCTGGTGTTCTGACCAACTGGGACCAAGAGTGTAGAAGGGTCAGTCCAGATCCACTGGGGCCCCTCCCCATAGGTATGAGTGCTCAGCTCTGAACTTCCAAGCCCCGCTTCCCTAGGCTGCCACCCTCCCCACCCCCATGCACACTACCCTTGATAGGAACAATGACCCAAGACATGGATGTATTACCCACCCTTTACCTGCTTCCCCTACTCTCAAAGTGGTATTGTTATTTCTGTTTAGTGCTAACATTGGGAGTCCTCCTTTCTATCCCTAAGCTCTGGGAATGGCCAACCACTGACAAGGGACTGGTTCTGGCCTCCTTCAATTGCCCATTCCCCTAAAAGCTGACAGCTTCCGACTAAAATGCTCACTCTCTCAAAACCACTCTTAGGTCTCTTGCAAACTTATGAAATTCCTCTAAGGAAGAATGCACCACAGGTCACTCTTACTTTTCATTCCTGGAAGAAAGACTGAACCAGAGGGAAAAGGCAAGGGGAATGCCACAGCTCTGATGATGATTTAGAGCACACGGCTTCTTTTTCTGGGAGACCATACTTTACAAAAGACACTTCTGCAGCTCAGCAAAATCAAGTATTAATATATTACATATGCATGGCACAGTATCAGGGGAGCTGCTGGCATTGCTTTCCCAGCAAGAGGCAGAAGAGAAACAGCAGCAGGCAGGTTGGGACCCGACTTGCCAAGGTGCACAAGACTTTCTCTTTCCAAGATTAAGTGGAAGTGACCAGACTGGGTCATAGAGGGTTATTTGATTTAAACTAGTTGAACTGTATCTGGTTAGATATAGATTTGCTCCCACAAGGAGGAAGCTCAGTTCGTGTCCCTGGTGGACACTTCTTGAGTGTCTACTGTGTGCATGTCCCTATATTCAGTTGATGAGCCTTCCTATAAGGATGTTTTTGAGAAACCCATGCAAATAATAACCCCTAGGAATGAGTTGCTCATAAAACAGCCAGAGAGGAGGCCTTCTCTAAGGGCCATCGTATCTGTGAGGATTCCTCAGAACGCAGCTCCACAGGCCCCCGCCGCGGGAAAGAAACCAAAGCAAGCAGCATTCAGAGAGAATGGGAGACAGGGCAAGATCCCCAATGAGTACAAGGCTGTGTTCATTCACCAGACAGGGTTGGTGTTTGGTTCTGAGGTGAACCAAAGACTTAAGTACTTGCAGTCAGGTCAGCAGCTTCCTTTGGATGAGGCTCCAAAAGCTGGCTGGCCAGGTAACTGCTCTCAAGGAATGAAACAGTGGAGTGTAGGACTTGTAACAAACAAGCCAGTTTCAGCCACTTTGTTCCCTAGGAGAACAACCTTTAGCACCTGAACACTAAGAATGACTCCATTCTCAGGACTCCCCCTCCCCCCAGGAGGTAGGTAAGATTATTTATCCCCATTTGGCAGCTGGGGAGGAAGTGAGAGTGAGAGGTCACAAGACTTGCCTAAAGTCTTTGACAGAGCAGAGATCAACCTCAGAGGATTGAGCCTCCTGATGACAGGCCAGGCGCTGGCCAGTCCAAGCACATTTCTAAAGGAAATGCCAGGATCATGCCCTGGGAGAAGCCTCACCAGAGTTGGGTGGACAATACCCTGAGTTACTTCAAGAGTCTAAAGACTCCTGAGAAACAAACAAAAAACCCACCCACCCACCTGAAAGCTGGTGGGGGAGCCTAATTCTCAATACCCAGTAGAATACCACAGTCTGAGCTGATGCTAAAAGTTGTGGGGGGAAAAAATGTGGGCTTAAGACATAGGGAAGCAAATGCAACTAAGATTGAAAATACTCTTTGCAGAGGAATACTCCACCACAAAATCTAGGCAACTTAAGGTATTGAAATGTTATCAAGACTATCCCAGAACCTTAGAGCTGGCTGTGGAAGGGGACAGCTGGGAGAGGAAGGGGAATTAAGATGGGAGGAGCTGTATACAAACACCAGGATGGGCACCCCCCAGCCAGGTGTGTCTGCCCTGACCCAGGGCACATTTCCCTTCTTGTTTCTCCACAAAACTGTTCAGCTGCAGAGGAGGGGACATGATTCTTTCTGAGTTTATAGAAACAGAGACTGTAACTGAAAGGGAAACCAGAAAGACCCCAGCACACCAAAAACTAGAGGTCTTGGTCAGAGTGGACAAAACCAATTTTGCAGAAGGGGAAAGACAGAGCAGCTACAAATTAGGCCCAGGTCAAAAAACCATGCAGGGGGTTAGGGCAACAGGACAGGAGCCACGCAGGCACTTAGGCACAACACAGACAGACAGAGGAATGCAGGGCCTGGGGAAAGGGTCCACTGGTTCTTTCAAAAGTCACCATTACCAACTATAGATTCAGCATAATTTCGAAGCAGGTCTGGCATGCTGGGCAGGAGCAGCTTTGTTATGTCAGCTTCCTTTCCAGAAGCCACGCACAGAGCCTGGTCAGCCTGGCCATAAGGTCTTTCTCCCAAAGTCCCCTGACGGTCCCCACCAAAACAGTTCTTCACTCTGAACCCTGGAGGGGCTTCTCTCCCGGTGCTAGAAGCTTGTGGGACGAATGGTGAGAAATGGAAAAGGGCTGAAGCAGGATCAACCAGAGTCCTGTAGATGAATGCTCCTCCCCCACAAACCAGCCACAGACATCTGTGTAACAAAATTACCCTTTAAAGTGCACAGCTCTCAAAAGAAGAGTTCTGGGTGGGAACCCTCTTATTCCAACCATGGGGCTCCTGCCCTTCCACCACAAAAAAGAAAGAAAAAAAAAAAACTTCAGACAGTTGAACCGCTACTATAAGCTGTGTATCATCTTTTTTGGCTCTTTCTTTGCTCCCTCCCTCTGCCACCTGCTCCCGAAGCCTGACTTTCCCCTTGCAGGAGCTAGGGATGGGGAGGAAAGAACAGGGAGGCCCTGATATTTGGAATGTCTCTTATCCTGCATGTACCCCCTTCCTTCCTTGGCCCAGGCCTGCTGCTCCCCATCACAGCATCCTCTGGGGCTGTCCTGAAAGAATGCCACAGGGTAATGAGCAACAGACCCTGCCTTGGGAGGCTGCCTTCATGCCTCCTCTTCCCCCCCACCCCCCTCAGATCTCACTGCCAAGAGAGCCATTCCTTGCTCGGCATGTGCAAATCCTCTGCCTGCTCACGGTGGGGCCCAGCTCTGGAGTAAAGCCCCCGTCGGGTTTGGGAGAGAGGTTCATTTTCCTGCATTGGAACGCCCTTCGATGGACAGCTTTACCTCCTGCGGAATGAAAGAGGGACGGAGCAGCGCAGCCCGTGCCTCCTCCCCTTGCATGCTGTATCTTTGGAAGCTTGGAGCTGGCCAGCAGGCCTGAGCACCAGGCTCTGGCTGCGAGGGCTCTACCATTTGGGAGCCCTCACCTGACGGCTGGCTCTTCCCCTCACTGTCACATTGCTCTCTGGGTCCCAAGACTGTCCTCTCAGGCCTTTCACGGGAGGTGCCCAACTGGCCGGGGGGGGCACAGCTGGCCTGAGAAACCGAGTTACTGTTCAAGCTCTGTAAACTGATAGAGATGCAGACATCTCCCACCTGTAGTCGATGGCAGGGCAAAGAGAAGAGCTGTGCAGTCCGCCCAGGGCTGCAAGAGGACCAACCCTGACCATATACAAAAAAGGGGTGCTCGGGGGGCACCTCGATGCTCACTTTGCTCTGCTGCTCACCAACCACGAAATGCAGCATGACAAATCCAGGCCACTGGCTCTCCTGAATGTCCACGACTGTGCTAGAGTCAATCTTCAGCCCCCCGCTCACTTCGGCACTGCGCACAAAGTCCTGGGTCTGCAGGTCCTCCACCCGCTTCAGCTCCCCCGTAGCCAGCTGGATGATGGCGCCTTTCATGAAATGGGAGGGCAAGTGGGAGGAGGTAATGGGGGGTGGCGTTGGCTCCTTGTCTGGGAAGATGGCTCTGGCCTGCGTGTCCACACTTGACGCTAGCAGGATCTCCGAGCCCATGGGCAGCAGGCCTGGGTCAGTTCCAGTGGGCACCAGGTTGCCATTGGCTACAACCATTGCTTTGGGTAAAGGTCTATGTTTCACTGGTTCCTGATGGGATTGAGGGTAGAACCCTCGGGCCTGGTTTTTCTCGGCCATCTCTGCTGGGTTCCGGGCTGACCCTCGCCCCTCGCCCTGATGGTCAGGGGGATGATGGGACAGGTTGAGGGGGCTGGGCTCATCTTTCCTCTGAGCTGCCACCACACGATAGTCCTGAGAAGCTAAAGTGCCAACCACCTGCTGGACCTCGAGGTCGGTGTCTGGGGTCCCTCGGTGTGCCGGCACCGCCACCTCCACCCGTGCAGTCTGAGAACCTGAAAACAATTGTCCATCCACCACACATTCGACCATGGGCACCAGTCCCTGGCCATTGCCCTTGCTGTTGGGAGAGTCAAGGGCTTCACTTTCCCGTCTTACTAAATTTCGCTCTTGTTGTCTCTGTCCATTGGCAGGGGCTGCTTCCAGAGCAGGCTGGCCCTCCTGAGGGGTAAGAACTGGGCTGGCACAAGTTGGAGGGGTTTCATGCAAGGTGTACCCAGCAGGTAGCCTGGACATCTGATAATAAATGGGCATCCGGCCTGGAGCAAGGTCCAGCGGCTGAGTACTGGAATGATGTGGCAACTGCCCAGGTGGGGAGGTGGCAGAGGGGGTTTTGTTGAATGAGTGGGCCGGGGACGAAGCCTGGGGAGGAGGAGTGGCTCCTTCTGCCAGGAGCGAGGCATATGGCACAAAGTGTGGAAGATGGGAAGTGGCAAGGTTGGCAGAAGGGGAAAGGAGGGGACTCGGTAGGAAGTTAGGTGGCACAGCATAAGGAAGGCTATAAGGAGACCCAATAAACTGCAGGGAGGTGGATGGGAGCTGAGCATAGTGGATTGGAGGATAGTGGATTCCTGGATGTTGAATCAATGAAGATGCTACGTTAAATGTGGGGGGCAAGGGGCTCATGTTCACCACAGATGGGAGGCCAGTCGGGGAGAAGGTGGCAGGCGGCACAGCCACCTTATACAGCATGCCATACTGGTCCACCGTCAGACCAGTGATGGCCTCGGCTCCATCACCCCCCAGGCTGACTCTGGCTCCTGCCTGGCTCTGTCCTGCCACCACAAGCCCTCGGGACCATTCAGAGACATCACTGGAGGGTGTGTGGTTAGTTGAGCAGCTGGTAGTTCTCCCCATATCCTCGCTGGTCACGGGGAGGTCTCGTTTCTTTGGTGGAAGGCATTCCTGACTCCTCTCATGAACAGGTTTCATATTGCTCTGTGGTGTTCCTGGAGCCTGGAAGGGGTTGGCTTGCTCCTTGGGGCATCAGAAGGGGCTTCTCTGTGGCTCCCCTGAACCCTCTCTGCTGCTGGCTGGGGCGCCCACATCTGCTAGGGAACAAATCAGAGGCAAAGAAAAGTAACCTAGGGGTGAACCAAATCAAAGGAAATAGTAGGAACTGTGCCCATATAGGAAGATGTAACAAAGGGGAGTGTTGGAAAACAACAAAAAAAAGAGGTATGAGAGAGGGGCAGACAAGGATGCTACCCTCCTCATTCGGCCTAGGATATATATGACAGAGAGTTACAAAACCACAGAGCTACAAGGACAAGCATTCAACAATGCATAAACAAACCCAGAGAGACCAACAGCTTCATAACTAGTTGTGCCTATGATTATTCTCAGCCTTTTCCCAAAGGCTTTGAATACATGGTCTTTGCTGCTGGCTCTTTCTCCCTTTCTCCTTTTGCCACCAAAGACGACAGTGCTATCTTCTTTCCTAAACATATGACCTCATCCTCACTTCCTTTCCCCAGCCTAATTTGGGCTATGATCTCACCTATCCCTAGTCCCCCCACCCCAGGCCTGGTTAAATTCTTGTCTTCCTCTGCCTCTTATCACCACTACCTCAAGGACCCAGGTGTCAATAAGTCCTCAGGTCTGCTTGTATCCTATTTTTATAAACCTTGCTCCCTAAACCTGTTAGGAACGTTAGTATCTTCTTTACCCTGTGAAATACTACATTCAAGTCTGGGCTCTGTGGGGAGAGGATTTTACCAGTGTTCTACAATTTAGTTGTTTCTCCTACTCCCCAAGGAGCAACAAAACTCTTCTGACCTCACGTAGACTTCTTTTCTTCTCATTGACCACCTTCAATTTGCCTTCTTCACTCATTCCCTTTTTTCCTTTTGCTTTGTCAATGGTTCCTTTTCCACAGTAGGTCTGCTTTAGGCACCACTTCCTAAAATTTTGATTCCATTCCTCCAAACATGCCTGTTTGTTACTATCTTAGGTCTGTATAATTAGTAAGAAAGTTCTCCCCTTTCTCTTGTTGTCACCTTTCATACATGCTTTTGTCCATTGTCATAAAGTATCTTTTTGGTCTGAACACTTCAATGCATATGAACTTTGTCACCTATTTCTTCCAATCAGGCTCCAGTTCTTTGGATCTGAAAAGAGATTTCTATATTACACTCTGTTCTGTTTTCCACTATTGAATTCCAGATTTTTTTTTTTTTTTTAAACAACAAGGTATCCAAAGCGCCTGTATTACCTGAGCTTTCAGGGGTGCTTCTGAGCAGCTGCAGTAAGAAGCAATATCCTTCCGGCTGGCGTGGGAGCCTAAAAGACAGACATAGAGATAAAGTAAACAGGAGCCTTGCCTCTGACCCTTCTCCAGGTCATCAAGAAAAGTAATTCCAAAGCCACAAAGACATTAAAGTACACGAGTCCCTATTTTGTTCTCTTCTCTAGAGGTAACAGCACATATATCCAGAGTGTCCAGGCAGTTAAACAGAGAAAAATCTATCTCTTACGCTCTTATTGGTAGGAAAACAGCCCTGGGAAAATTTTTCCATGTCAAACCTCATTGTTTTCTTTAACTTCTTATTCTTCACTCTCTACCTGTACCTATTTCCCAAAGGTTAACTTTACTTCCAATCCCAATTTCTAGTAAATGCACAAATAAAAGTGAAAGACTCAACATTGTTCCCATATGAACAATGAGAAGCAGGAAAAATGAACTTCACAGATTTCACTTTTATTCAGGGCTGATGAAAACACAGTTGTGGAGGTTACTTAAATGAGAAAAGCGGCACTAGAGGAAAAAGAACAATTATTTATGTTTCTGGGGCAGAAAAAGAGGTCAAGGGGGAGTTACTCAAGGGGAAGCCTTAGTAACAGATTTTCAGGGTGGAAAAAAGGTCTCCTGTGTGTAAAATTTTGTGAGTGACAACTTTGTACTGAGTGCTGAATCAGGTAAGACAGAAAATAAAAACACTGTCTTGGTCCTCAAGTAGCTAACAATGGGAAACAAAACTCGTGCTAAACTGTCAATATCTGAATCCACATGTGCCAGAAACATCAAGCACTGAAGAACAGTCTTAATCTCTGAAAAGAGAGAAAGCAGTGCTGATCAGTACTCTAAGAAGCTACCTATTGTCCTGTCCAAATTCCACAGAACACTGCAAGCCTCAAACCAAACTAAAGGCAACATTTATCTCTTAAGATTGGCAAGGTGCAGATGTACACAAAAAGGTGATGAAAGAGGATAACAAGGTGGAAAGATACGTTTCTAGTTCCATAAACACAAATTACACAACGAGCACAAGTCGTGTATCCCTTCTTTGCTGGTACTTCCAGCAACTGAAAGGCAGTTAGCTTTCTCCTTCATTCCCAACAAAAATTGGGGTTCCATCTTCAATCCTAAAATGATTCTTGTTCCCTGCAACTAAAACATTAAAGAAAACCTGCCTCGAGGTCACTGAGGGGTTAGCCAAACACAAGCTAATAAAGGGACTAAAAGAGGCAAAAGGTCTGCGGAAAGATAACAAAGAGCCAAGCCTGTGTACCAGATTCCCACAACGCAAAAACACATTTCGGAACCTGAAACCTCAGCCTCTGGAGGGGCTCAATGAGGGTTTCAAAAGGAAAGGCGTAGCTTGCTACCCCAACCGGGCTAACGGGGAAGAGGGGCTGTTCCAGGGAGCTGCCAAAGCTGCTAGCAGAACCAAGGAATCAAAAGGCTGAACCCTGCCAGAGATCAGAATTCGGTGAAGGCGAGAGGTGCGCCCGCCAGAGAGGAGGTCGGAAGATACTAGGGGTTCTGGTTTCTTCTGATGCCGCAATCCTTGCTCCAAAAAGGATAGGGCTCGAAATTGGGAATTCAGCATTTAGAGGGTGGGGGCGGGGGGGTTGATCCTTCAAGCAGAGGGGCAGAAGCTAGGGTCCGCAGATGATGCTTCCTTGTTTGGGGGCCCCTTCCCGCCCCAAGAACTCGGACACCTCGGCCAGCGGAGACACAGCCGCGGGGTCGCCGGAGCCCGAGGCCGCCCTCTGGCCTGGGTCAGAGGAAAGTGAGCGGGGGTCTAGGCGCGGCCTCTCGCTCCCTCGGTCCACCGTTCGAGGGGGCAACGGGGTCCGGGGGGCCACTTCCTCCGGAGCTCTGAACCCAGGCCTGCTTGGCCTCAGTGAGGGCGGCCAGTTGACCCCCACTCACTGCGACACTCACCGGCCCATCTCACGGTGTTCTTCGGGCTCCTCCCGCTTGTCCCGGAGCCGCCGCAACCGCGGCCGCCGCCATCCCCGGCCCCGGAGCCGCCCCACACCCAGCACCCCCACCCCCGAATCGGACGCCCGGAGATGGCGTAAGGCGCGTCCCGCCCCCGGCGCGGGGAGATGTCGTCACTCCGGGGCTGGAGAGTGACGCCCTGGTGTACCCTGCAGTGGAGGGGTGGTTGGCCACCAGGGAGACGCCCGCTCGGAGGAGAAAATAAAATCCTCCTCCTGGGGTGGGGTCACGTGAATAGGACTTGGCCGGGCCCCCTCACCTTGACCTCTCAATGACCCCGCAGTCTTTCTGCTCCGGGAAATTCTAGGGGTTCCTGAACAGAGCCCTGGGGCATGGCCGCCGGCGACCCTCATTGCCGGGACTTCCTGGGCCCCGTTTGTGAAGCCTCCTTTTGGGATCCTCAGGGAACCCGGAGGCAGCTTGAGCCCAAGAGAGTAAGGAGATCCCTATGGAGCTTGGGGGTGAAGATGGGAGCTCTTTAAGAATTGAGACACGTCTCTGCGGGAGATGAGAATGGGCCGAACGCAGGATCTGGGGGAAGGTGAAACAAGTAGTGGGAGACTTGAAAGTCTGAGAAATTAGAGGAAGGATTTTAGTACAGTGGGAAGCAGCTTAGTTTAGTGGGAAGAGGGCTTGCCTACTTGATGAAATATTAGGTCACCATTCGTTGCCCATTTACTAGTCAATTTCATAGTAACATGAACTTCTGTTAACTGAAAAATAAAATTACCATTTAAATTTGTGCTTCCATTACATCTATGTTAAAAAAAAAAGTTCTGCATACAGAAAAAAACAAAACTGAGAAAAAGTAAGTTTATAACTGTTGGAGGGATTGAATTCTGAGTGGAGCTCTTCCCTTTCAATTTCTGCAAGCTCTGTTTAATAAATAATTGTTGTGTGTGTGTGTGTGTGTGTGTGTGTGTGTGTGTGTCTGATTTTGGCTGTGCTGTGGTCCCTAGCTATCTAGCCTTAGGAAAGTCATTTTACTATTTTAAACCTGAGTTTGCACTTCTGCAAAATAAGAAGCTTAAACTAAATGAAGGGGAGGGAGTAAAAGGTAGATTGAAGAGCTCTCTTAAACATTTTAAGTGGAAAAAATAAGCAAACATGTACATATAACATTATAGTTGCATATATTTATGTATCTATACAGAAAAAGAGTGGAAAGATGTGTAACTAGTTAACACTGGTTATGTTGGGAGAGAAGAGTGGAATTGGGTGGTGGCCAAAAGGAAAAAAGGGGACAATATTGTTTGGATTTTCTTATGAGAATGTTAGAAATATTAAAATGAGTAAGTTAAAAGACACATAATGTATATGACCTCTAAGATTCTTTTAAGAGAATTCTTCGACCTCAATTTTGATATTTTTTCACCTTAATGGGCACAAAGAATCATTAAAATGATTAAACTACACACACACCCCTTGCACCAGTGGGTGAAACATAGTGAAGCTATTGATCTGTAAGCCTTCTGAATCAAAGGGCTTTGCTTCATGAATACTAATATTATTCACGATAGTCGCCTTCTCTTTCAGTGTGGCCAAGAAGGAAGTCTTGTGGCCTTTCTTCCCAGTGATTTTTTTTTAGCACTAACTGGCATTCTGGTTTCTAGTTCATTGCTTAGCTTGCTAACCTGGTATTAAAACTATAAAACTGATAGACACCCTTGAATAATCCAGGTGTACTGAAGGATAGCCAGTTTCTCCCAGATCAAGATACACAGTCATAGATCTTCTTTTCAGACAAAGCTGAAAGAACAAACACAGGTAGATACAAGCAAAAAAGGGTGTTTGACTACCAGCCATCAACGCAATTACGTGGTGCAAAGGTGTGTCTGATTAAAAAAAATAAAAAGTTGTTCTGATTGGTGAAACAGGTGATTTCCTGGTTTGGTGCTGCAGTTCCAGGAGGGTAGGTGATATCTCAGCTGCATCCTGTTTTAGAAATCTTTACTCCAAGCAATCCTGATTTCTTTGGTCGTATATATTGATGGTAGGAAGTTCCATGGTGTCAGTTTGACAGGAATATTAGTGAGAAGTAAACTAATGTGGTTTTTAGAGTTGAGACACTAAAATAAGTTAATTTATTTTTCTAAAAACGTATAATTCTCTGGTATCTGGATAATTCTCTAAGTTATTTATATTAAATAAACTCGGGTCTTAAACACTGTAACTGGGTCAATAAGTAGTTGTTGAATGAAATTTTACAAAGATATCCCATCCTGGGAGACTGTCCTTTATAAAGCTTTGGCTCCCATTTCCTCATTTCTACTCTTATCTGGTTAACCTGTTGCTATCTGTTTTCAGTCTCATCTGAAAGTCCTTCATTTTATATCACCGAGTTGTTTTTTTTTCCACAGAGTTTTAAGAACTGACGAACCAAAAGGAGATTTTTAAAGGTATTTGGGATTTTTGGGGACTGAAGGGTTAAATGTCAATGTTTTTTCCCATCTCTTCTCTCTCCCTGGGTTCCTATTGAATTCCTTTGATGTGGGTAGATTGAATTTGTGTGACAACGGGAGAGCTTGAACTGCACTGTTGGTAGAAAAACAACAGTAAAACCCTGCCTTGCTGGTTATTCTCCTTCAACAGGCAGGAGTTTCAAAACAGCTCTCCCTGTTGCCTGTTTCCTCTTTGTGGTTTTTCTAGACCTGTAATACAGGCAGGGAAAGCTCAACTATCCAACTATCCCAGCTTTTTATTTGATGTTAAGAGATCAAACCAGAGAGAATTTGCTTGTAACTTGGGAAACCATGTGTGTCATAACAAGGGGAGGAGGTGGCGTTTTTCATACAGTCACATGTTCCTGCTTGTATGCTTCAGCATGTAAAGGTGTCATTTTAGGAAAGGAATTTCATCGTTGAATGCCAATGACAGAAAACAATAACATACATTGAAAGCATACATTGAAATTATCAAAATACTTAGTAGATTTAGCTTTCCCTAGGAACATATTCATGCCTGGCATTAAGTTATTTTTCAAAAACTTTTCTAGATATCCAGATACAGAAATGTGCAATTTTTAAGCTTGTGTTTTATCTACTTCTCTGAACAATTCTATGTCCTCATTGCCACATGCTTTTAATGTTATATGATCTCTTCCGATGGGGTTTCCCTTTCAAATTTATTAATATTTTATTTAGAAGGAGGTCTTATAATGTCTCTATATGTGACTAATATGTCCTTTGGGGAGCGGAATCTCCTTCTGTTGTCTGCTTCCTCAGACACTTGCTAAAGATTCGCATGTTTGTTAGAAACTTCCTGCAAAATTCTCAAATTTCAGTAAAACCACTGACTATTGGAATAAGCTGGAGGAAACCTAACCCCTACTTGAATTGCAAGAGTCATATCTGGGGTATTTGTTCCACAGAGAAGCAAGTGCATCTGGGCCATTACTGAGCAGTCAGGAGTTCCTTATATGGGGCGTAATGAATGAATAAAATGGATGTCGAAAAACTGTAGCTCCCATAATACTGACAACCCTCTCTTTCTCTGGGAAACTTGCTCAAGAGTTGCTGTGCCTTGTGATGAAATCATGTTCAGTTCTGCCTTCAAAGCGGATTGCCTTCGGGTCAACTTGCAACTGGCTGTCAGTCGCCTAAAACTCCTGGAAAGAAAGAAAAGTGAGTAGTAATACTCCAGGCAGCCCAGCCAGCTGCCGCTCAGGTCACTGTGCAATCTTCTCACCAGTCCCCCCAGCCCAGTGATATATCTCCTAAGACCTTACTTACAAACTTTGGAGTTTACCATAACATTTTTGACTGGTGGGACTGTGGGAATTATTATTATAGTGATCAAATCATTTATAAATTTCCAAAGACGCTGCTGTATCTTGACTGTATCAATACCGGTATCTTGGTTTTGGAGGATGTTACCATTGGGGAAAACTCAGTAAAGTGTATTCTGGATCTCTCTGTATTACTTCTTATAAATTTCCTGTGACTCTACAATGATCTCAGAATTTGAAGTTTAATTTTTAAAAGATATTTCCAAAGGTTTAAAATGCAAAACAATGCAATGTCCTGATTACTGGACTTCTCTCCACTAAGGCAGAGAACTTTAGTCAAACTGTATTCAAATGTACAGTAGCTATTAAGTTTGAGCTTCCAGGCATATTTTTCTGGAAGGGCTTCCTTACCCTTTTTCAACCAGTCTCCTCACCCCTCCCTTTGGCCCCAATACTATTTCGTCTATCAGGTGACAGTTCAAGTAGTGTTACACTCATGCACAGAGGTAATGTGTGTTGTCTTCTTTAAGTCCACTTTATTGTCTGTTGCCTTTTGTTTTCTCATTCCACTGGGTCACATGAATAAATGATTGCTCCTCAATAAACTGGAAAACTGATGATTTTTTTTATTATGAGGAAGGTTCAGGTGAAATAAGTATTACATGTAAATGAATTTTTCTGAGTGTTCTGTAAATAATACTATTTACTATTGAATTACTGAAATCTATTGGTGGAGAGGCTGTGGTGACTCAAACTTCCAAATTGATTTTGGGACATTGCTTAGCCAAATCTTGGCAGAGGGTGTTTGGGCATTACTTAGATAATAGAGCATTTCTTTAGATAATAAGGAAAGTACCCAAAATAAATAAAATTTAGGCAAACCCAGTATTTACCATTTTGTTACCATGAACAATGAGGATGACACTGATGATGTATATGGAACTTGTGAATTTTAAAATGCATGCTTTCATGTTCTTTTAAAAAATATTTTATTTATTTAATTTTAGAGAGGAGGGAGGGAGAAAGAGAGAGATAGAAACACCAATGCACAAGAGATACACCTCAATTGGTTGCTTCTCACAGGCTCTCAACTGGGGACTGGGCCCGCAACCCAGGCATATACCCCGACCAGGAATCAAACTGGTAAACTTTTGGTCGACAGGCCGGCACTCAGTCCACTGAGCCACACCAGCCAGAGCCTTACATGTCCTTTTTTTTTGAGCCTGATAATCCAGTGATACATCTTATTATCCATATAAATTTTATACTCTTCTTACAAATGAAGAAATTTAAACATGAAGTTCCTGAGTGATTTGAGGTAAATAAAGCTAATTGGCCCTGTCTTACCTAAAAGAACTGCTTTTGAGAAGGAGATAATAATCTTGACTTCCCAGGGTTCTATTTGTAACACAGTCTGTAAGTCGGACACACAATAATGTTTGTTGACATTAGTATTAGTGTAACAGCAGTTTAGCATTTATCTGAAATAAGTCCAGTTTTACTGTAATTTCTTTTCCCTTCAATGTCTAAGGCAAAGAATATTTCCGTACTGTGGACTTGGCTAAGCGACCTTCCAAGCAATGAGGTCTGTGTGTGTTTCAGATTCAAATATAGTTTCATATAAAGGTCTCTTTGCAATAACAGAGCAATTCTGTCTATTCATGATGAGATGGTGAGCATCATTTTTAGGGTATGGCACACAGGTAGGGCATAAAAATTGGAGGTTCAGGTTTTCCCGACTTGTGAAAAGCCTGTTTTGCCAGGCTCAGTCATCAGTTGATAACTCAAAGTAATAAGACTTTACTTATGGTAGTAGATGACAGATGGGACAGGTTACAGTTGTTGCCTCTGCAGTCTGACTCTACTTGTTCATTTTATGACATAATGTGGTGGAAAAGCATAGGTATTTGCAGTCTGAAGATTTGACCTTGAGTTTCATTTCAACCAGTTACTCAAAATCATGCGACCATAGGCAAACCATTTTACCTCTCAGAGTCTCAATTTTCTCAGCTGTAAAATGCAAGTGACATGCAAACCTTATACAGGTGTTATAAGGATCAAACAGAATTGTATATATGAAGACATTTTAAAAAATGCAAAGCATGACGCCCATTCTCCTTTTTAAAGTAACTGATCTTTTTTTATCACAAAAATAATAAATATTCACTATGGAACATTTTAGAAAATAAAGATAAGCTGAAAGAATAAAATAAAGATCACCAGTCCAAGCACCCTGTAAAGCAATGTTTCTCTGCCTGTAAAAGGGGTCAGAATTCAGAGGGTTCTACTTCCAGAGTCTCTGATTCAGTATTTCTGGGGTTGGCCCCAAGAATCTGCATTTCTAACAAGTTCCCAGGGGATGCTGGTGCTGCTGATCTGGGGATGAGGCGAACGGCTGACCAAGTATGAAACACTGAGAACTTGATCTATGCATCTATGGTATACCTTAAGTGTATGTTTTTGTTTGGTTATTTGTTTTTATAAAAACATTAATTCACACTATTGTGCAACTTGCCTTTTTATTCAACAAACTCCTCTCTGTGCATTCGTTTTTCTACATACATGCTTTGTGCTGCAGCTGAGCAGGCCCAGAAAGCAAGGAAAGAGGTTGCTGACTATCTGGCTGCTGGGAAGGATGAACGAGCTCGGATCCGAGTGGAGCACATTATACGCGAAGACTACCTCGTGGAGGCCATGGAGATCCTGGAGCTGTACTGCGACCTGCTGCTGGCCCGGTTTGGCTTGATCCAGGCCACAAAGTGAGACCTACTGACCTTGCATAGTTTCTGAGGCTCACAGGAGTGACAGGACATCCCTACCACCTAGTGAGGGAGAGAATGGGGCTTTGCTGAAGTATTTTGTGACTTTGTTGAAGTATTTTGTGTCTGCTTGAAGGATATATGTCAGTCCAAAGAACCATTTTTAAGAACCAAACAGATGTCTTTTTTCTTGTAGTAGAAAAGTTGGAAAACACGGACTGACATAAGAATCCATAATCACTAAACTGGGAGATAAGAGTTTTGGTCTATTTCATTTCAATTTATATATGTATATTTATATGTATTTCTGTGTGTACCAACATGTATATATGTGTAAATATCTTTACATACATGTATGTACATAGAAGTTTATATTCTAATTTCAGTTTATTTAGATTTTATTTATTTATTTTTAGAGAGAGGGGAGAGAGGGAGAGAGAGGGAGAGAAACATCGATGTGTGAGAGATTCGGCTGCCTCTTGCATGGCCCCAGCTGGGGACCTGGACTGCAACCTAGGCATGTGCCCTGACTGGGAATTGAACCGGCGACCCTTCGGTTCACAGACTTGAGCTCAGTCCACTAAGCCATACCAGCCAGGACTCTAATTTCAGTTTAAAATTTTTTAATTTAACATTATATTTTTAACATTGTTCATGGGCTACCTATGAAGCAGGGAAAAGAGGGAAACAGAAAGCCCTGATTTTCATAATTGTGTGATTTCCTTAGGGAACTGGATTCTAGTCTGGCTGAATCTGTATCTACACTAATTTGGGCTGCTCCTCGACTCCAGTCAGAAGTGCCTGAACTGAAAATAGTAAGTTTGACGCGTTTTAACTGCCTGTGCCACAATTGTAAGTGAGGATATCACTAATGTTACTCTTTTAGACTTATACGATTATTTGGGGAATTATTTCTTTTCATAAAGAGTAACTGAAAAAAGCATTTTCTTCTGTTAGTCTTTAAGTGAAAAACAAATACTGTTTTTAATGACAATGATGGGGGAAGACAACCTTACCTAAAAAAACAGAACTTGAAACTGAGTTTCTTTTGTGGGGAAAGGGGTGTCATAATTGATAAGGTGTTTAGAATTAGAGGTTTTAAGTTTTACATTTATCTGATACTTAAAAATTAAGCAAAGTGCTTATTTTATCGCTATTGCTATTTGATGCTAAAAGAACATAATCCCACTGAGGAAAGATGAAAGTGATTTTTGCTCTTTCGGTGGTTCTTTATCTAAAGCAAATCTGCCATAACTTGATCACTTTTGCCTATATTTCTGTCTTGGTGATGGTTTGCTGCAGGTATCTAATCAGCTGTGTGCAAAGTACAGCCAAGAATATGGTCAACTGTGTCGAACCAGTGAGATTGGAACTGTCAGCTCTCGGGTAGTACCATTTCCAGAGACATACATTTTTCAAATCCAGGAAGTCTGGGAAAAGCTGAGCAAACTCAAGACATATTACTCTGTGCAGAGTGAAAGATGTGTATGAGTAATTTTTGCATTAGAGGCAGAGGAAGTTGGATAGATATCTTAAATTAGGGAACTCAGATCTTTTAAAGGAAGTCAAATGTATGGTGACGGATGGAAACTAGGCTTTTTGGTGGTCAGCATGCTCTAGTGTACACAGATATTGAATTATAATGTCCTACATCCAAAACTTATATAATGTTATTAACTGATGTTACCTCAATTAAAAAAAAACTAGAGTCAAGAAAACTGAGCTAATTCTTCATTAAGAAAACATACATTTTCCTAAATGAAACTGGCCTACTAATATAAAAGACATTAATGAAACTTTGAAGTTTCAACTTTTGAACATCTTACATAATTTGGGACTGACATTCAGCTGGACACAGAAAATCTGGCTGAAGTAGTTGTTTCAGGCTGGTGGACATTTTCCTCATTCAGGGCATCCATTCGAATTTGTTAGTGCCTTGCTGTACTGGTTGTTGTATACGTTGAACATCACCTCTGACATAATTCAAATACTTATAAAATCAGAATTCTTGATTGAAAATATTTTTCTTATATTTATTTTCTTCTTCTTAATCTATTTGGTTTGAGGGGCCTTCATCCCAGGAAAGGGCTGTCTTATGATACAAGGAGGGCTGGCTCCCTCCTTGCTGTTGCTACATTATATATCTTTCTAAAATCATACATCTTAAATAACAGTGACTAGAAAGAGGAAGAACAATGATGCAGAGATAAAAGACCAGCTAAACTCTTTTTGTTTCTTATTTCGTAGATGTGAGTATGACCAACTTGGTTATGTTCTTTATTTTTCAGCTAATGTGTAAATTAAATGTGGACACTCTACCCCAGGTTCTAGTGGAACAGTACCTGATAGAAATTGCTAAGAACTATAATGTGCCATATAAATCCAAGGTAACAACTATGGTGAGTACTTTCAAAAAGGGAGAATTGATTTAAAGCTGAGACTTATATTGTGCACTAGGAGATTTTTTTCTACTTAGGAATGTGGCTCTCAGGATAGCTATGTCAGGATTGTATATCATGTAAAATTTGTACCTTTTCTCTGCCCACATAGTTTTCCTAATAGAGTTTGACTTCTGATAACTATCAGAAGACCTTTTTAAGTTTTTAACAGTAAAATGGAAAACAAAGATGAAGGTACCTAATGTGTTATACACAGAAGTGTGCAAAAACACTTTTAGTTTTTAAGATCTCAACTTTGTCCTATGGATATTTTACATTTTAGTAAAAAGATCTTTATTAAAGATCTGGAATAAAGGTTACAAGATCCAAAGGCACAAGATACTATCATTTAGTCTTGGTTAAGGGTATAAGTGCAGTAGTGAAATGGCCCATATTCAGATCCTAGCTCCACCATTTATTAATTGTGAGACCTCAGGCAGGTGACTTACTCTCTTAAAGACTCAGTTGTCTGGACTGTAAGGAGGAGGATAAGGCCCTGGCTGGGTAGCTCAGTTGCTGGAACATCGTTGTAATATGCCAAGGTTGTGGGTTCCATCTCTGATCAGGGCACATACAAGAAGCAACCAACGAATGCACAAATAAGTGGAACAACAAATCGATCTTTTTCTCTCTCAAATCAATAAATAAAAAAGAGAAGGGAGATAATAATAGTTAATGGTCATTAACAAATCTGAGTTTGTTGATATGATTAAATGAGCTAACGTGTACAAGGGATTTAAATGCAATGCTGACCTATCACAAATGTAATCAAGTTTTGCTTTTCATCATCATCATTATTGTTATGGGAGGTGGATTAAAAGGTGGTCATGGACTGTTTTAGGGCTAGAGGGATTTCTCCCTAACATCTCTCAAATCATCTCATATGGGGAGTGACTTATTTTAGCAATTGATAAAGTTGTCTCTGGTAACTTTTTTTTTAATGTATTAATTTTAGAAAAATATTGAAAAACATTGATTTGTTGTTCCATTTATTAATGCATTCATTGGTTGCTCCTCATGTGTGCCCTGACCGGGGATTGAGCCTACAACCTTGGCATATTGGATAACACTCTAACCAAATGAGCTACCTGGCCAGAGTTCTGGTAATTTCTTTATAATGATGTCCCTTTACTCAGGTGCCAAACTTGTTCTTCATGCAGGCATGAAGCCACAAGGGAACTCTGTCCCATCCGCGTTCCCACTGTGCTGCCTTCCAATTGATGGGGCAGGATGTACCACGTTGGGTTGGATTAAAGCACACACTTGTCTTTCTGACGCTTTGCTCCTAGGGGTTTCCTGATGGGGACTCTTACCCATTCTTTCTTTTTCAAAGAGTTACATGGTTTGTTGAAAAATGAAACATTTTTGTAAAAATTGTAAATATTTAGATAATACCAAAAGAGACTGTAAAGAAGTAAAAGCCACATGAAATACCCTAGAGATGTGTCCCAGGGCTCAGGCTTGGACCTCTTCTTTTTCTTCTGTACTCTCTAGGTGATTTTATCCAACATCATGGTTTTAAACACCATTTTTATGGTGAGGACTTCTACACATATATCACTAGCTAAGGCTTCTCAGCTGATAGGAACTCCAGGCTGATATATCCACCCACCTTCTTGAAATCTTTGCTTGAGTATTTCAAAGGCATTTTAAACTTAACACGGCTAAAAGTGCTCTCACCCTTTCCAAGAGCCCACTCATTCTACAGTCAATGGTAATTCTGTGCTAGGGCAAGAATCTTGGTATTTTCCTTGACTCTTCCCCTTTCCCTCAACTGTTATCCCCCAACCAGCCTTCAGCAAGTCCTACCTTCTAAATATATCCACAATTCTGCCGCTTCTCACCATCTCCAATGACAGTACCCTGGCCTAACCTGAATAATCTCTTCCCTGAATGGTTGCAAGGGCCTCTTAACTGCTTTTCCTGCTTCTCTAATTTTCTTCCTTATTAATTGATGTTCAATATAGCCTTCAGAGATCTGGTTAGCACCTGAGTCAGATCATGTCATACTTCTGCTTTTAAATTCCCCCAGTGGCTTTGTATTTCACTTAGAATAATATACGATGGCTTTGCTATGACTGAAGAGTGAGCCCACGCTCACTCTTACCTCTTCTCTCTGGCCTCATCCCCTCTACTCTCCCCCAGTTTACTGTGCCTCAGTGGCACTGGCTGCTGACCTCCTCATGCTTCTTCAAACACACACAGCTGATTCCACCTCGGGGCCTTTGTACTTCCTGTGCTGTGTGTTTTCCACTGTCTTCCTGGTCCCAACTTCACTTCCTTCAGGTCTGTACTTAAATGTTCTCTTCAGTATGAGGCCCTTACTGGCTACCTTTTCTAAAATGTCAACCTCTTCCCTTTTCTCTGCTTTATAATTTTTCCCTCTCACTCCAATCTTTAACACACTATACAGTTCACTTGTTGATCCTGTTTACTATCTGTATCTCCTACTGGAAGGGATGTCATCAGGTCCAGGAGGACAGGGACTTTGTTCTGTTTTGTTCACTGTGGCATCCCATATACTGTGCCTGGTTTGTATTAGGGAGTCAATAGAGTTTGCCAAATGAGTGAATTAAGCCCAGTGTTTACCACTGTTAAGATCTGTTAAACTTTTGTGTAGACCTATCTATGCATATTTATGTCTAGCTCTTAATCATTGGTGTACCAGAGCCTGACCTCATAGACACTCAAAACACAGTCTTGGAACAGAGACGAAGAAGTGTGAGGGCCAGAAAGCCTGAAGGTTGCTTTTAACTGCCATTGGCTTACACTAGACTCAGAGCTTCATGAGGGCAGGAAATGGGTCTCCTTTGCGCACTGTTTCTTCCCTGGTGCTTTCCAAGAGTGGCATGTAGTAAGTATGCAAGAAACAAAGGTGTAGTAAATTGAGAACCCAATATTACTCTTACCCTCTTGCTTCAGGCTGAAGCCCCAGCAGACCTGGTTAGTGTTGGATTTACCGATGATGTCAAGAAAGGTGCCCTTGGCAGTGGAGGTGGAACTGTTGCTGGACCTGGTGATCCACGTCAGGCATTGCCAGTACCTGCATCAGGGCCCTTACCTGTGCCATCCTCAGTTCCTTGTTTCTCATCCCTTCCTCATGAAAGACAGGTCAGTATGGCTAGGGATACTGAATCTGAAATGATACTGTAAGTACTGTTAGGAGGTATTTCTAATTGGGCCTTTTGGATGGTAAAATGATCTTTGTGAAGTTTTTAAGGCTGGGGGAATATTTGTAAGCATTAAGCCTATATTTGATATGTTTTTATGCTAAATTCATGAGAAAATAGGGCTACATACAGCCTTTCATCAACCTCTTGACAATACCACAGTATAAACTACAAAGAACACTTTCATGAGCTGGACAAATTTGGAAGTCTTTAGTGTACAGTGATTTAGACTCAAGTTCCAGATGAGATATATTCACTTTATATGTGAAAACAGTTTACTCTCATGTTGAACATAGGATAAAAATCTCATAATTGTGTACATACACAAATGAAGTAAAAATAAATTGTTTTATTCTTTTCATTTCTGACCCCATGAAGCTCTTTTTTAAAAATTGTATATTTCAGATATAATTTAACTCTAACCCTCCTTGTTGAAATTATTTGTCTGACTAATACCTTGTGTATTGCTCAGCTTCTACTTTTGGAATGCAAGTCCTCTGATTTAAAAATAAAACAAAGAAAATGTTATGGAAAATTTAAACATATTCAAAATTAGAATAATGTGATAAACTTTCATGTACTCATCACTCATTTCCCACAGCTATCAACATTATGCTGTTCTTATTTCATCTATCTCTTTCTTTCTAATTTTCTTTGAGAGAGAAGGAATTTAAAGCAAATCTCAGACATTATATAATTTTACCTGTTAATATTTCTGTATATATTTCTAACATATACCCTTTGTTTTTATTGATGATATTTTTTACTAAAGATTTTGTTTATTTACTTGGAGAGAGAGGGGAAAGGAGGGAGAAAGAAAGGGAGAGAAACACCAGTGTGTAAGAGATACATGGATCAGTTGCCTCTTGCATGCCCCCAACTGGGGACCTGGTCCACAACCCAGGCATATGCCCTGACTGGGAATCATACCGGGGACCTTTTGGTTCTCAGGCTGACACTAAATCCACTGAGCTACCCCAGCTAGGGTCTCTTTGTTTTTATACTATAAAACAATGTCTTCATGATACCCAGTACAATGAAAAACAATTCCTTAATGTCATATAATACTCAATCCATATTAAATTTCTCTGTCTCAGAAATACATTTTTACAGTTATTTTGTTGAAATCAAGATCCAAAAAGATCTAAATATTGTATTTGGTTGATATATCTCTTAAATATTTTTACCTCTAACACTTCCTTCTTCCCACTTGTTTGTTTTTTCTTGCCATTTATTTGTTGGAGGAAGAGTCCTCTGATTTTATTGAAGTGAATCATTTTTTTCACAAGCAGTATCCCTAGGTTCAAATATAAAAGATTCCCCAATTCTTGTATGAGGCCACATCCCATAGTCACTCCTAAGGCTGATTTCCAGAAGGCATAAAAACACTTAATCTCAAACAAGAAGGAAGCTTGACTGTGATAAATTTCACTTAAATTAATTTTAAGAAATATTTCTTGAAGGCTTACTATGAAGAAAAAATGTTTGGGACTCAAACCAGTTGCTTCCCAGTGATTTTTTTTTTTCTTTCAGAATGACTCCTGTAAGAACAATTTGCTTCCTATTCTGGTTCCTGGTAAGTACAGGGAATGCTGGTAATAGTTGGTAATATTTCTTAATATTCATTAAAGATATTTCTGTTGTTATAAGACTAATCATTCCTCCATTGGCAGGATTAGTTTATTAGTGATTTACCGGAGTGCAGTGCGTTCCCCTATAGTAGCTAACAGTTTTCAAAGTGGACATGGATCTCAGACAGATCTTTAATACAGGAAAAGTTTTAAAACCACTACTGTACTAGACCATCCTGTCACACGCTTTGAAAAATTATGCCTTTTAAAAGAAGCCAGACCTGCCTTGAAGAAGATTACACAATGTGACTATTACCACCATTTCTATGTTCGGGGAATTGTCTGGTTTCCCAGCCAAACTACGGACTGTTCTCTCCACAGCAGTCGTAGCCTCCCGTCTTCAGGGTGGGGACTCCATCCTGGAGCACATACGGTTGTGATTTTTAATTACATTTTTTGAAATGCCAGGTCCGGGATTCAACCCCCAAACTTCTCCAAAGCCAACATTAAGAACCAAGATTGGTTTTGATAACTTTATGCTGCCTGATTTGCCTGATGTGAAACCTCAAGCAAGCCTTTCCATTGACCCTTATGATTCAGAGGAAGTTGATTTGGAAGATCTTGACCGGAGACTTGAGATGCTGAAGAAAGCCACATAATTCCTTAGTTCTGGATTGAGTATTTGCCTGGGAATTAGGGCTCTTGTGCACAAATTTTATTATGGCCATCAATGTGTCATTCTGAAGTGTTCTCATTTAGCATTCTTTCCATCTCCTAAATTCTTTGGTTCTTTGTAATAATGTATCTCTCTGTGTGTGCATATTCAGATAATTATTCCTCTTAAAATTCTGTAATTCTTAGATGAAGATTACTGATCTCCAAAATTTTATTAATTACAGTCAATACACTTGTTTTCTCTGAGATTCTTATTTTTCTCATAATTATCACTTTTTTCAAGGAGGCAGAATGGAATGTATTTAAATCTCATCCCTGTACTTACTAGTTATAAATAAGACTTTTGGCAAATGATACCTCCTGTCAGATGTGCATGAGAGAGCTAAGGAACTAGAGGAATGTGTGTCTTCTTAAAAATGAGTATCTTAAGGAATGTGCAAACACTAAAAGTGAATAAGAGAAGTGTTTTCAGAATATCAGTGGAATCCTGTATGTCTGGGTTCAAATTTAGACTCTGCCATTTACTAGCTCTAAGCTTCCTTTTTTATACCTGTGAAATGGGGAATATAATGAAGATTAAAAGAAATAATGTATGTAAAGCTTTTTAACACTTAGTAGGTGCTAGATAAATATTAATTTCCTTTCTGCTTTCTATTACTTGCCAAGTACTAGTGGACTAAATATTAGTGAATTTATGAAACTAGATAAAGGAGAGACTGAGAAAACAAGATGGTCAACTTAATAACATTTTTGTTCATTTCTTGTGTAACTGGCATTTTTTGTTTGTTTTTCTTTTTTTAGATTTTATTTATTTATTTTTAGACAGAAGGGAAAGAAAAGAGAAAGAGAGAGAGAGAAACATAATGCATGAGAGAAATAGCGACTGGTTACCTCTCTCATACCCCCAACTGGGGACCTGACCGGCAATCCAGGCATGTGCCCTGACTGGGAATTGAACCAGCACCTTTTTGGTCCACAGGCTAGTGCTCAGTCCTCTGAGCCACACCAGCCAGGGCTGTTTTTCTTTTTAAGAAACTATTTTTAGGGCAATTTTAGGTTCATAGAAAAATGCCAAATCCCCCTTTTTTTTTCCCCCTGTGGTGGCTCGGAGGCGATAAGCTGTTTCAGGATGAAGCTGAACATCCCTTTCCCAACCACTGGCTGCCAGGAACTCATTGAAGTAGATGATGAACACAAACCTCGTACCTTTTATGAGAAGTGTATGGCCAGAAGTTGCTGCTGATAACTTTGGGAGAAGAATGGGAAGGTTCTGTGGTTTGAATCAGCGGTAGAAATGACAAACAAGGTTTTCCCATGAAGCAGGGTGCCATGTCTACCTGCTGCTGAGCAAGGGGCATTCCTGTTAACAGATCACAGAGGACTGGAAAGAAAAAATGCAAATATGTTCAGGGTTGCATTGCAAAGGCCAATCTTCATGTTCTCAACTCAGTCGTTGTTAAAAATAAAGGGGCAGGGGGAAGGTATTCCTGGTCTCAGCAATACTACTGTGCACTGTCACCTTGGGCCTAAAAGAGGTAGCAGAATCTACAAATTTTTCATTCTCTCTAAAGAAGATGATGTCCACCAATGTGCTGTGAGAAAGCCTCTAAACAAAGAAGGTAAGAAACCTAGGACGAAAGCTCCCAAGATTCAACATCTTGTTACTTCGCGTGTCCTGCAACATAAACGTGGGTGTGTTGCTCTGAACAATGTACAAAGAAAAATAAGGAAGAGGCCGTACAACACGCTAAACTTTTGGTTAAGAGAATGAAGGAGGCCAAAGAAAAACACCAGTAACAGATTGCTAAGAGACATAGGCTGTCCTTTCTGAGAGCTTCTACCTTTAAGTCTGAGTCCAGTCAAAAAAGGGATTTTCTAAGAGGAACAATAAATAAGAACAAACATCAAATCTCAAAAGAAAGGAAGAGTGCCAAATTAATTTTTAAATGCAGTTATTGATTACGCAGAATCTTTGTTTTAAATTCCTATTTTATGTGTCCCGGAGAGTTTACATTTTCCCTTTTGCATGTGAAAAAGTGATAGATAACTTTATACCAATTTCTCTCTTTAAAAAAAGCCAGTTTTGTCTTGAATGTTTCATTCTAGGATTTTCCTCTTCTTATACAAACAAATTTATTCAAAGAATATGGGTTGGAGGGAGAATCTTTGAAATCCAAGGCCAGGGTCTGACCTATGCAGCAATCTGGCTGCCTCTCCTCAGGAGAGAACATCTCATCTTGGCACCTGTTGGCATCTTAGATCATTGTCTGGCATGCGGGAGGGGCTTGGTGGAGGAGTGGTTTGGTATTCCCTGAACTGGGTACTAGGAAGTGGCTGCTCCAGTTACTAAGATGTCGCAAAACTGTTTGGATTTCCCAGGCCAATTTTAAAGCGGCATGTAGGACTGACTGATTTTGAAGAAACAAGGATGGGGCTCTGCACCTAAAGGATAACAAAACCAATTTACCATGGATCCTGTTAGGCAAACAATAATGCCCATATTAAAGAAATAAAATTACAATGAGTCAGAAGCTCTGTTCTTTTTCTGGGCGATGCACTATATCAGTGGCCTCTGTTTTGTCTTTCATTCATGAGAGAATGGCACCGTTTCCTCAAGTTGGGGGTTTGACTTGGTTGCAGTCTCATATCTGGTGAGATTTCTCCCTCCAAAAGTGCCAACATAATGCAGAGTCATTCACAAACCAAGTATAACTATGCTACAAAAAGTGTAAAATAAATATGACATAAAATATCTCAGATGCAGGCTCTTTGGGCTGCCTCTTTTAAAATATCTCTAAAGCAAAGAAAGTGGTTGGCAGAGCCTGATATCTTCTGGACTTTGGTCTTCACTTTGAACGAACATGTAGTAGATTTCCTAATATTCTTGGTAGGAGGTCAAAGTGAGTGGAGTGCATGGAATTTTAATTTTTACTTCACCTCTGGTTTTTGGCATAACTGAAGTATTAATTCCTAAACCCTTTCCTTAGGCCAGGATAAATTGCAATTAGCACCATGCTTAAAAGAATTGTAAAAATCCTTTTTGCAAGAGCATTACATAAACAACAGATGGACTAATATCTGTCTGACTTTCAGGCTTATTTATAAATTCAGGTGACTCAAACCATAATAAAACAGGCTAGTGGAACTGCCTCTTTGACTCATGTCCCTGCATTTCCTACAGGGTCATATCCCGTCTTCACTGTCCTTTCTCTGCTGAGGTCTCTGGCACATGGAGAGTAGGAAGAGTTCCCTGTGAAAGACACTGACCACATTTCTGCAGAGAGGGCTTTCCTCATCTGCTGTAAAGGTCTTGTGGCTTCAGCTGATGATACTGAGCCATTTAAGAACCCTACTGAAGAGAGAGGGTACTCCCTCCTGCCCCAGTACCACAGATTCTAACCGCATGTCATGTCTTCCAAAAGCCCTTTTTCACTGCTTTAGTGATCTTTCACCTTCTTGCTTTTTATTTGGAACTAGGACTTATCTACTGAGTAATATCACTATTTTTTTTTTGTATTTGAGGACTTCTAAAAAATCTAGTTTTTCTCAATGAGATTATTATCTAGGGAGTAGGGACAGTCTCTTTTGAAATGTCTATTACAGATTTTGTACTTCCAGAACAGTGTGGTGTAGTGGAAAGAGTCAGGCAGCACATTCATTGGATGATTACTAAAGGGGCCAAAAGATATATTCAAAGTTGAAAGATCTAGATTGGAGTCTGGTCTCTGCTGTATGTAGGTATAACAAATCATTTAATTTTCTTAGGCTTCCATTTCCTCCTGTCTAAAGTGGCAGAGATAATATCTATCCTAAAGAGAGCTATTTATTGAGCCCTTACTATATGCCAACTGCTGTTCTTAGTGTCCTTTAAGTGTATCAGCTTATTTAATTATCACACCAACTTTAAGATGTTGATGCTACTATTAACTCCCATTTTACAGATGGGTACACTGAAGTTCAGAAATGCTCAGCAATATTAAGTAACTTGCTGCAGGTCACACAGTAAAGAGGGGAAGAGCTGAGTTTTAAACCTAGGCAACCTAGCCCCAGAAATCAACATTTTTAACTAGAATGCTGTAAGACCTGTATGGTTTACAAGTTCATGGTGGGTGAGAAGCAAATGAATCAAAGTAGATGCAAATACTTTCGTAAATTGTAAGGTAAAATGCACTTCTGTTAACTTGTAGTGGGTAATCTATAAATGCTTTAGTTGAATTGTGAAGTGGCACAAAAATTTTTATGCTTATATTCTCTTGATGCTTGATATTTTTCAGAGTGCTTTCACACATTTGATTCCTCTGCATAATAAGCCACTTTGAATCCATTTTGGAATAAGGACAGTCAAAAGTAAATATTGGCTATCTAAGGAAATAGGCCCAGAGATGGTAAGCACCTTGCTCAGGGCACAAAGTGAGTTAAACCCAGCCAGGACTAGCATCTGAATGGTCTGATTCCTGGCCAAAAACGGAAGTTTTGTTTTTGTTGTTTGTTGTTGTTCTTGTTTATTAAAGTGTGCAAACTACCAATAATAAATTAACCATAAAAGTAATGACTTGTTTCTCCCAGCCATTATCTCTTCATAGAAATTTGTTTAATCCTTTCAGGCTGCTGCTATTTATATATTTAATTATTTATTTCTTTATTTTTGTTTCTTTTGGCTGTTGCTGTTTACACTTGATCTTAGCCAAAAGGCTAAGAAGTGATAGGCTGTTACTGTTTACCAAACAAAAATATCTTTAGCATTTGGATCTATAAAACTACATTATCTTAGAAGAACTTTTTTTTCAAAATGTAAAAGTCTTTTTTTCAAATAAAAATACAGTATGTTCCTTGAAAAAACAAAACAAAATAAATGTCCTCTAAATTGCACTAAGGTTATCATTTTTATATTTTAGTTTTATTTTCTTTTAAAATTTTCAAAACTTTTTTTGTTTTGTTATTTTTCTCTCATATTTTAATTTTATTCTTCAACATTTTTTTCTCTGTATGCAGTGTACACTTTTT